TCAGCAATTCCAGTAGTTTAAAATGAGAGAATTTTCTTTTTATGTATTTGAGATGGAGTCTCGCTCTGTTGCCTAGGCTGGAGTGCAGTGGCGCTATCACGACTCACTGCAGCCTTGACCTCTTGGACCCAAGCAATCCCTCTACCTCAGCCTCCGAAGTAGCTGGGACTACAGGCACACATCACCATTACTTTTTGTATTTTTTGTAGAGATGGGGTTTCACCATGTTGCCTAGGCTGGTCTTGTATTCCTGGGCTCAAGCAATCCCCCTGCCTCAGACTCCCAAATTGTTGGAATCACAGCTACCCTGCCTGGCTAACTAATTTTCTTTTCTTCTTCTTCTTCTTTTTTTTTAAAATTGATTTTTACTTAACATAATTTATAGGCTTACCGGGAATTTTCTTTACATGACGGTAGAATATGGGTTTTGTAACTGGGCAGACTTTACTTTTTTGTTACAAGCCACTTAATAGATTTATGCGTTATCTAGCCTCTTTGATTTGGCAAATAGAAACCTCTTAGAGTCACGGAGGACACATGAAAATCACGCTAATATATGTAAAGCATCTGACTTGACTTACCAGTACAATAAATAATAGTGATTCCTCTTTGTACTGTTATAATTCCACAGTGGCTTTTAAGCAAAAATGGTTATTATATGTGAATACATTTTCCTTACTGCAAAGGCTAAACAAGTATTATTAAAAGGAATAGTTTTATAGGTCACTGTTTTAAAATCATAGGCAGAGCTAACACTAAAGTGAATCTCAAATCCCATCAAAGTCCTCTCAGTGTGGACAGCAGCTAGGGAGAAGGCAGAATAAGGTAAGTGTTAAGAGGAAAAGAACAATGTGAGTTTTGCTCAGGAGTCCTGAACCAAAACTATTTTTTGTTTTTTAAAGATGAGGATTCACTCGTTGCCCATGCTGGAGTGCAGTGGTGCAATCACAGCTCCCTATAGCCTTAAACTCCTGGGCTCAAGCGATCCTCCCGCCTCAGCCTCCTGAGTAGCTAAAACCACAAGCGTAAGTCACTGTGCATGGCTTGAAACTGATGTTACAAATGTAATTAAACCTGCTCTGTAGCCTTACCCACTACTTTACCCTACCCATCTCCCACCAACAGATGCAAAAACACATTTTATACGTTTGAGTGCTAGACTTATTATTTCAAACAAAGACACTTTTTTTTTGCAAATCAAACTTTAAATGTGACTTTATTATCTCTCTTCCCATTTTTATTACTGAATAAGTGAATGAAATATTAAACTAAATTATAACTTTTCCTGAACTGTTTTTAAATCATAGGCAGAGCCAGAGTTTTCTTTCTTTCTCTCTCCCTCTGTAATTGTGGCATTAATATACTTTGATCCCAGTAATCATTTTCGATCAATGGGAAAACAAATGAAAAAAAAATCCCATGCTGGAATGATGCAAATAGATGAGCTTGCTTATTAGAATCTTTTTTCTTTTCCTCTTACAGGCCAGTCACATAATACATATCCAAATCAGAGAATGCCAATATAAACCTTGCCCACCTCTCTCAGCCCGTCTTTCTTACTCAGACAGTTTCTGAGCAGCTCTTTGATGAAGACACAATCTTCAGTCTCCAGGACAAACTGGGCCACAGCCTTCCCTCCTGGCAGATGGCTCCTCACCATCTGACTTTTGACACTGTCCAGGACAACTCCCCTGATGTCTTTAGGCTTTCCTGGCATACCAAAGATGATAAACAGACCCAGGCAATCCTCTCCTATTAAGTTACAGAATTCTTCCAGCTTATCAAATCTACTTTTCTTCCAGGAAGACTCCTCTACCCTTGGTTCTGGATTGGAAAGGTCATAAGGTTTAGATTCCATAGGAGGAGGTGAAGACATCTGCAGAGTCTGTACTGCCAGCTGAAGCTTTATTTGCTTGTCGGATCCCCAAAAGGTCCAAATCCAGTCTGCGCCAAACAGGAAGGCTTGGTGCTTGGTCATCTTGGTGGTGGTCAGCAACTCATCAACTCCCTTTTCCTGGCAGAAAGTGATGAAATGGATTAAGAAGATCTCATTCAGAGTATTTGCAGCTGGGCAGAGTTGACTCAGAGGACATTCAAATCCAAGGTACTCCTTCAGTTTCTGAGCTGCATGGACTATAGCTTCACTGACCACCTCCCAGACGATGGGCACCTCTTTGCTGTCCTTCAGAACCAACTGTTGCGATGCTTTCTGCCCCATTTTCTCTGCATCCAAATATCACACATGTGAATCTGGTTCAGGAGTACTTCTTTTTCAAAGTAAAAGTTCTGCAAGGAGGTCACATCTGTTAATGGTTCGTGTTTTTCTAACTCTACAGCTCCCCTGGGTGTAGTTAAGCGTATATACATACAGCTAAATAAACATGTTCTCTCTGTTTGTCAGTTGGGTGTGTTGTATTCATTCAGTTCCTGCTGTCTTATTAAAGATACTAAATTTCACACAAAACGTCTGTTCTAGCTAGGTTATATTCACTCTACTTTTAACCTTTGGTAATCTCTTCCAACATATGTTTCCTCTTTCCAAGTTTTAGTAAAAGTAAAAATGGCACATTAGTTCTTTTTGTTGTCGTTCTTTGAGACAGGGTCTCACTCTGCTACCCAGGCTGAAGTGCAGTGGCGCAATCATGGCTCACTGCAGCTTCAACCTCCCTGGGCTCAGGTGATCTTCTCACCCCAGCTGGGGCTACAAGTGTATACCACCACACCTGGCTAATTTTTGTGTATTTTTTGTAGAGGTGGGGTTTCACCATGTTGCCCAGGCTGGTCTCGATCTCCTAGGCTCAAGCAATCCTCCTGTGCTGGCCTCTCAAAGTGCTGGGATTATAGGCATGAGCCACTGCACCCAGCCCTATGTTAGTTTTTTAAATATCCATACACCTCTTTCTACAACTAACTTCTTCCAGTCTGTAGGTGAGTCATTTCCATTTGCTTTTCCTATTTTCTTTTTTGTTTGTGTGTTTCTTTTACTTCTGCCATATTCTTCATTCCCCAGCTCAGTTGCTTCTTTTCCTACAAAATCTTCTCAAAGGCCTCAAATTCCTATCTGCTGATACACGTTATAAACTCCATTCAAACAAATTTATGGCAGTTTATAAAGAGATTGTGTTATTTTCTATATCAGAAACAAAGCCTATTACTATGAACAACGGAAAATGAAATAAGGGCAATAAAAATGAAGCAATTATCAATTGACTTTATTTCCTTTCATATGGTAACACCAGCAGTGTATATTTTGTAAATAAAACACATCATAAAAAAATTTAACTTTATTACATATTATCAGTTACGTTATGCCGTCCTGAATAAAAAATACTTGGGCCGGGCACGGTGGCTCACGCCTGTAATCCCAGCACTTTGGGAGACCGAGGTGGGCGGATCACGATGTCAGGAGATTGAGACCTTCCTGGCTAACACGGTGAAACCCCGTCTCTACTAAAAATACGAAAACAAAATTAGCCAGGCATGGTGGCAGACACTTGTAGTCCCAGCTACTTGGGAAGCTGAGGTGGCAGAATGGCGTGAACCCAGGAGTCAGAGCTTGCAGTGAGCCAAGATCGCGCCACTGCACTCCAGCCTGGGCGACAGAGAGAGACTCCGTCTCAAAAAAAAAAAAAAAAAAATTTGACATCTGTAACAGTCTCCTGGTGTTTTCAACCAGGTTCTAAGAACAAATTGATTTTTTCAAGTGGTGACATCTAGTCACATTAAAATAAAATCCAAATAAAGTAAGTCCAATACAGTTACCACATAATGAATGGTAGCGTTTAAAGAAAATTATTATTAGCATCAAATCAATTGTTATGAATAAACAGTAATTTGATATCACAATTTCTTTAATGAATACTTGGTAACTTGCTGACAACTTAAAAGATAACACCACTGATATTCAAATACAGTTTATAATCCAGTCCAATGGCAGATACTGAACTGCCCACCTCCACCTCAATTTGTGAAAACCTGTCTTTTGTCAGGTTGGCTACCATGGGTCATTATGTAGCACTGAATAAAAAATAGAATATTTTTCTAATACTTCTACAAACATAATAAACACAGTAACAATTTTTGCTGCAGTGATTTTCTTTACAAAGAATATTTGGGCCCAGTGCTACAGGAAAACGTGAACTACGTCTTATCATCACAAAATAGCCATTATAAAATGAATTTTGCAGCCTCTGTTTTTTTGAACTTTGAAATAAAATGTTCAGACAAATATTCAACTTTTTAAAAAGCTCCATTCATTGATAGCCTGAGAAATGTACAATGAACATGTTTAGGCAGACTGTTAGTATTTTGATGCAATGACATAGTTAACAAAGAGAAAAGAAACAATACTGTAAAGGTTTCTGCTTTGCTTTTGGTTTCCTCAAAAACTATTTCTACGCATTTTGGGGAGAGGAGGTGATTCTGAATGTATTCAAGTTAGTGTATTCAAGCCAGGCACAGTGGCTCACACCTGTAATCCCACCACTTTGAAAGGCTGAGGCGGGAGGATCACTTGAGGACAGGAGTTTGAGGCCAGGCTGGGCAACAGGGTGAGATCCTGTTTCTACAAAAAATGTTTGAAAAATCAGCCAGGTGTGAAGGGTGGGGTGGGGTGGGAGGCCACACACCTGTAATCCTAGCTACTGGGGAGGCTGAGGTGAGAGGATCACTGGAGCCTAGGAATTCAAGGCTGCAGTGAGCTATGATCACGTCACTGCACTCCAGCATGGGTGACAGAGTGAGACTCTGTCACTTTAAAAAAAAAAAAAAAAAAAAAAAGGCCAGGCATGGTGGCTCACGCCTGTAATCCCAGTACTTTGGGAGGCTGAGGTGGGCGGATCACAAGGTCAGGAGTTCCAGACCAGCCTGGCCAATATGGTGAAACCCCGTCTCTACTAAAAATACAAAAATTAGCCAGGCATGGTGGCGCGTGCCTGTAGTCCCACCTACTTGGGAGGCTGAAGCAAAAGAATGGCTTGAACCCAGGAGGCAGAGGTTGCAGTGAGCCGAGATCATGCCACAGCACTCTAACCTAGGTGACAGAGCGAGACTCCATCTTAAAAAAAAAAAAGTATACTAATGTCCCTCAAGTTCTTCCATATGAGGTAAAGGGATCCAAGATTAAGGTTGAAATTTTTAAACTGTTCAACAACTTTGTGGTGTCATCAAAAAGGAATATTTCATATATATTAATTTAGCCTCAATGATCAACATTGTTAAAAGTCAGTATGGAGAAAGATCATTCTGACTTCTTCAGAAACCAGCTGGTATATGAACGTTCTGATCACCAGATTGTTTAGAAAACGTGATCTTTTCACCATCGTCCTTAGGTCACAAAATAAATGTTCTATTTTCTATGTACTGTATATATACATATATTTAGAAAAATATATAAAAATAAGACAGTAAGAGGCAAATGGAAGTGTGGCTGGCATTTAGTGGGCACACTGAATGCTTAAAGAAGTTCCACATATTGATTCTGAAATCATATAATGTCCTACTTAGGTGGCTCCAGTGAACACTGATGTGACAAAATCATTCACATCCTGGTTACTGTTCCCCAAATCCTCCATACTACGGATGTGAACGGAAACACTCTGGTAAAATACTCATCTTAAATGCAACACTTTAAATATAATATATCACAGATTTTTACATTAAATAGAAGAAAAACAATTATACTCTCATCCACCAGTGTCTTATTTTTTTGTGGCCACTTCGGAATCGGCACATTACTCCTGCTTCCTGTTTAAACTTCTCAACAGCAGAAGTTGGAACAACAAACAATAGACAATCCGCTGCCTGTTGTATATACTGTGAGTGTTTGGAAAAGAAAGTAGAAAAAAGACTAAGCATTCCTAATGTTCCTCCAGGTGCTACGGTCAAACGTTTGAGTCTTCATCTGTAATGCTGGCACTGGGGGAACGGGCAGCAAAATCTTTAAACATGTCATCTTCTTTTAACATGTGCTGGAAAACAAGGAGACAGGGAGTCACACTGAGAGCCAAGAGCTCAGAACTACACATTCTCCAAGAGACATGTGGTCCTCTGGGGTTGTTAAAAGACATTTATAGAATAACATTTTCAATTCATTTCACAAACTCACTGTCAGATTGTTGATGCCTTCGGAGAATGCACCTATCTGTCTCACTGTCCCTTCTGAATCTTCCATCTGCAAAGAACAAACCATAACATGACATACGTGTTTTCACAATGTCAAGGAAAGTGCAGCGAGAGGAACAAAAGTCTAAGAGGAAATAATGCAAATAGCACTGAATGGGGTAGGAGCAACAGAACACTTCTGGTGATAATCTCCTTTCACCACTGCAATCGGAAGTGAAAAATTAGAAGAGACACTTTACTGACACAGCTAGTCTAATGCCTTTGCTAACAGTACCAAAGCATTGTTGATTAGAAGGGAAATATGCAGTCCCATGACTTTAATCTGAAAAGGCTAGGTAGAATAACCTGTCCATTCCTAACATGTTTTAATACAGAGATGGCATAATATAGGTAAATATCATAAGCTTTGGAGCCAAAGAGACAGGTTGGGGACCTTGGGCAAGTTACTTAGCTCTCTGTGCCTCAGTTTCCTTATCTCCAAAATGAGAATAACAATGCTCTCCATGTCTTAAGGTTACCACAAACATAGTATACATTAAGTGCTTAGGATGGTGCCTGGAACATATAAGCGATCTCTAAGTGTTCACTACTATTTTATTATTATCTGTATTTTTAGTTATTGGAAGAAGATGTCCTCGATCAGACACAGTATACAAAGCTCCCATTTAGTGTCTGAATGATGGAAGCACTTGAAAAAAGGTATATAATGGATTTACCTGCTCTAATCGGTCCAAATCATCTTCCTCATACAGGCGCATATCCAAACCAGGTTTAAATCCTTTCTTAGATGCACTTCCTGATACCTGTCCCAATTCCATTGGACAAACATATTCTTCACCATCTTCCTGTTTCTTCTTTCTCAAATTCCCAAAATTGCTAAAGGCAAGCTTCTTTGGCTTTAAAAGAAAAGCAAACAAAAACATCCAAAGGATTTGATAAAATTCGTACAATCAAGGACTGATAACATGTAATTATTTTTGCATTACCCCCTCCCTCCTACATGTGTAATTTAATTATTTACCCCATGGTAGAGAGAAAATTAACTGGATGTTTAAATTTGGATAAAAATGAAAGGGCATCCCAGACATATAAATGATGCAATGATAAATGACCCTTGTTATGAATCTCAGAAAATTAATCTTATTCTTCTTATTCACGCCAACTAGCTGAATAGTCACTGTGATAAACAAAATATGGCAAGAATAATTTGATTACATCACTACGATTATTTTTAGAGACAGAATCTTGCTATGTTGCCTACGCTGGCCTCAAATTCCTGGGCTTAAGGGATCCTCCTGCCTCAGCCTCCAGAGTAGCTGGAACTACAGGCACAAGCCACTGCACCTGGCTTCATAGTTTTGATTAGACAGGACTTAATGCAATGAGATTTCTCATGGCTGAATCCAATTTTGCAAGGTTTTTCAATCTAAGATTAGCAAAATAGAATAGACCTTACTATATTTTTTCTTTGGGTGAGGCTATAATTATCTTGTATGCCTATTTTGCTTCCATAACAGGACTGGTGACTGCTAAAAGAATTTTCTGGAGAGGAAACTTCAGTGATACTTAGAAGAGAAACTCCATCTTGGTCATTGGATACTCAGGCAGATAGAGGGGGTAAAAAAAAAATTAAAAAGAACTTTGGCGCAAATTTCTGGAGGACCTCATAACCCAACAAGTTGGTTGAGATAACATATTTAGAAGAGTTAATCTAGGATTAATTTTAAAGAAGAAAAAGTAATCTAAATTTGGTATGACCCATAAATCCAGGTAAATTAGGAAATATCCATTCTCTTCTGGCCTACCTTCAATCATTTTTAAAGTATCTTTTCCTATTTACAAGGCTGGTCAATCATAAGCCAGAGAAGCTAAATCTGTACAAGAGAAATCTCTATTCTACACTTGATTTATAAAAACAGAACAACTGCAATCAATATTTGGACCCAAGTTATGGACTCTCTGCACTGCCAATACATGGATTGTGGAAGCCAATATGATGCATTCATTATCATTTTTTTAGAGACAGAATCTTGCTCTGTTGCCCAGGCTGGAGTGCAGTGGCATGCTCATAGCTCAATCATAGCTCATTGCAGCCTTGAACTACTGGACTCACATGATCCTCCTGCCTTGGCTTCCCAATGCACTGGGATTACAGGCATGAGCCACCATGCCCACCTAAGAGGGAGCACTCAAAAAGGGACATGAACCTTGGACCCTCGGATTAAAAGTCTGATGCTCTACTGCCTGAGCTATCTGGGTACCTTCTCTTAATTATTATACTTTTAAAAGATATATACTCAGTTGTCCCTCAGTATACACAGAGCATTAGTTCCAAGATCCCCATGTATACCAAAATCCGTACATACTCAAGTCCAGCGTACCCGTGTACCTAAAAAGTCGGGCCTCCCTAGATGTGGGTTTTGCATCCCTCCACATTTGCTTGGAAAAAAAAAAAAATCTGAGTAGGAGTGGACCTGTGCAATTCAAACTCATGTTCTTCAAGGGTCAACTGTTTCTTCAATTTGTTAGAGTAGGCAGATAGCTAGACATGAGGGGAAGCCCCTGAGAAAAGAGAGGTCCGGAAAATCTCACACCCCAGAAACCACCCAAAACATGCATGCTCCCTATGAGCAGCGAGGAGGAGGAGGAGAAATACCTATGGAGAAAGGAACATCCCTTAAGATGCTCAGTAATCACTCACTCTGCAGTTCACCTGCCAGAATTTAGCTAGCTGCATGCCGATAAAGAGGGCAAGAGGGCAAAGGAGAATGCCTAAGAGAAATGCAGGCACAGTACGTATAGATTTGACTGTTATACAACCTTCCTGGGGGCGGCGGGAATGAGCAACGCAGCCTTTAGGTAGAATTGCAGCCAACATCCAGCCCACGCATGCGCACCAACTATAGTAAGGGAGGGTCCCACAAACCTAGGATGGGAACTAGGTAGGGAAAAGGCAAGGACTTAAGGCAGGAGCAGGAAAACGAGATAAAAAAAGGCAGGGACTTAACACAGAGGCGAGAGCTTCAAGAAAAAACTGGACATCATACAAACCCGACGCACAACTCCTGGCCTCTTCCTCTTTCAGCAGCCCGCTGTGCCTCGGGTTTTGGAGTGTACTGTCCCTTTACATAAACACTGCTACTGCGACCCTGTTGTTTTCCCTGCAGGATCAGCCCCTGTATTTTTTTTTTTTTTTTCTTACAATAAGCTCTTTGCTCCCTATTTCCCTTCAATAAAGCTCTCTGCTATCTGTGAACTGTCTCTCGGCCAACATCTTTCTCCCAAGACAACTAAGCGCTGAGGATTCCTGCATCTGCTGGTAAGGAACTCATCCACAAAACTTAGCAAACCCCAGAAAACAGAATAACCAGGTAACAGACAAAATGTTGCCTTTGCGCCAAGCAATTATTAAACTGTATGAGCCTGAACCAACCTTCACTTTGGCAGTAGCTGTTAGAAGTACATAATCCGGCAGCTCCATGGCATCTCGCTTCTGGTGCTGTGCCTCAGCCCCAATCAGAAGGTTGAAATGAGTGGCCAAATGTCTTCGCAGCAAAGTCTTATTGGGTGGGATGTTCAATAACTGAGCCATTGTTTCTACATTAAAACGAGGCTCTAGAACCTGTTAAAAAAAAATAAGCTTGTCAAAAGTCACCACAAATCATACATGTTTGTATTGTGCTTTATAATTTACAAAGCTCTTTCTCTTAGGTTATCTCCAATGATCCTCTCAACAGCCTGGTGAGGTAGACACCATATGGACTTTGATCTTTAATTTACATATCTTTTCTCCATTTTGCCCAAGCTAGTGAGTGATAGAGCTGGTCCTGAAATCCAGGATTCTGGCATCCCAATATCAGTCCTCTACCTCTCTGGGGTGCTGTCCGTGGCAGCCAACTCCTTATGCAATATCAATGTGCAGAAATACAATCTGCATCCTTGCAGGGGTTTTCAAACATGATCATATGAGAGGAAGAAGCTACATGTTATTTGACATGAAAGAGGACAATAAAAGAGAACCGGCTTTAAATTCAATCCAGAGTTATAAGATATCAATACAAATACTCTGAAAGTAAAGATTTACTAGAAATAGGGCAGGAGGGTTGCGTCAGATGACTTTAGGATTATGATAAGCAAAAATTGATACTATCCTACTCACTAGACTAAAGGAAACAAAGTAAGTCAGTTTGAAATTAAATCAGAGCTTTACCATGAGCCCACCATGGACACCGCTGCCTCTGAGATTGGGGGCATATTCTGCCAAGTCCACGGAGCGCAGCCACTCCATCACTCGATGGTTAGTCCACTTCTGAACTTCTGAGGGGGCGATGGTATTCTATGGGAACACACAACCAAGATCCTAAGTATTAAATTGCATTTTCTGTCTAAAAAGTCTGCTCCATGGGGTACAGTTACTCAACATCCCACTAAATGCATAAAGAAAGGGAAAAATTCTCTTTTAAAGAATTTCTGTCATAGTTTGTGTTTCAAGTTTTCTTATATACTAATAAAGCATTGGTTTAGGAAAGGACTTTTTTTGTTTGTTTGTTTTGTTTTTGTTTTTTTAAGACAGGGTCTAACTCTCTTACCCAGGCTGGAGTTGTAGTGGTGTAATCAGGGCTCACTGCAGCCTCCATCTCCCAGGCTCGGGCAGATCCTCCGACCTTAGCCTCCTGAGTAGCTGGGACCACCAGCGTGCACCCACCATGCCTGGCTAATTTTTTATTACTATTATTTTTGTAGAGACAGGGTCTACCTATATTGCCCAGGCTGGTCTTGATCTACTGGGCTCAAGTGATCCATCTGACTTGGCCTCCCAAAGTGCTGGGATTATAGGCATGAGCCACTACATTTGGCCAGAAAAGGAAGTCTTTATAGTGATATTTATCTCTGCGGATTAGGGAATCAGCAAAAAAAATACACCCAAGAAAAGGAAGAAGCATAACTGAAAATGAACCCTTAGCTTTAGTTATATGAGTGGAACCATCATGGAGAGAAAAGGAAGGAATACAGAAAAAGCCTAAGAAGTAAATGAGGCTGAATTTTAAGACTTTTCCTGCAAGCTCCAAGAAAAATGGCTCTTAGTTTTGACATATGGACAGTCCCATGCCTGGGAAGTGCATGCTTATAAACCTCAATCTTAAAACGCTACCTCATCAGATGGCCGCCTCCGTAGACAGTTTGGTTCAAAGTTATTGATCCTCAGGACCTGGATGGCCCTTTTGATACTGAGGTGGTGTAGCACACTCACAACCTTCAAAGACAGTAAATCATCCTGCGAAAAAGAACAAAAGGAGGAGTTCACTGTGCTGGCCTGTAGCAGGGGGACGTTCTTGGGAATCTCAGAAAACTGGAGTAAACGAAGAGCCCCTCAAACCAATATGCCCCAAGGGCTTGTCAGAACCCACTTTCCCATTTGGAACAAAATCTTCCCCAAAACCCCAAATTAGTATTTTTTGCCAATGAAGCTGCCTTCCACCTGTTTCTCTCTCTTCCTGATGCTCTGAGATAGGACTGTAGAACCCCAGGGCTCTGAAAACCACAGTTTGACAAGCACTTGCTGGGTCACTACAAAAGGTGATCTGCATTGACTTGATCTGCACATACTACAAACAGAGAATTTCTTTCTTTCCTCTTAAGTTTTGAGAACTTTATCTGTGGATAAAGCACTTAGGCATTGGCTAAACTGCCCTCTCTATTTCCTTTCAGCAGACAGCGAAGAGTAAATGATGCTTATTGGCGGACATGATCAAGGCTTGGCTTTCTTTTTTCATCTTTTCTTTTTTTTTTTCTTGGAGAGACAGGGTCTCACTATATTGTCCAGGCTATCTCAAACTCATAAGCTCAAGGAGTCCCCCGGCCTCAGCCTCCCAAAGAGCTGGGATTACAGGCCTGAGCCACCGTTCCTAGCCAAGGCTTGGTTTTCTGAACTAAAGCACGTCATAGTTTTGGGGAAAATCAGAACAGTGCTCTTGTTATACTACTCCCTGACCTTAATAATTCTCCAGTTCTAGATTATTTTTTAGTAAAGACTTGTCTGCTATTGAATAGCTCTAGATTATTATGGTTTATCTAGCAGACACTGTGAACAATTTTGGCAAAACTATATCAATCACTGCAAAGGTTTTGGTCAGAGTTAAGAGAGAATAAAAATGAAGTTATAAGTTAGATCGTTCTATCTATCTATCTATCTATCTATCTATCTATCTATCTATCTATCGCCAGTCAACCCCCCCGCTCCCTTCAAGGAAGAATCTTCACCAGTCTGTGGCTCTTGGAAATATTTTCAAATATACCAAACACACCAAAACAAATTATTTCAGAAGAAGGTGATATTAGGGGCAGTGTTAAGATAAGCACCAGTCTACTTCCGAACACACCCAGAAAATAAACAAGGAAAACATCCATTTTAGACACACCTTTCTGATAAAACATTTCTCATGAAAGAAAGAAAAAAAAATGTAATCTACTACAGAAATATTTAATTAAAATATTAATCAGTTTATATCCTTGCGGCTACTAACTGGGCAAAAATTATTTCCTGAAGTTTTTCTGGAGTAATTCCTTAAAAGTAGCATCTTAACATATGTTAGAAAAAGTACTTATTTTAATCTAGGATTGAGACACCCATTGCAAACATTTCAGTGTGAGCTATTTTCATCTAACTAGTCTATCAGCTTCAAAAATATCTGAAAGCACAATGTTTACAGTGTGATTAAAATGTTAATTGTTTTTGAAATTCTTTATACTTTGAAGGATTTTAAACAGAGACAGTTTTATATCAAAACAGAATTTATGGGTGATTTTCTTCTTAATTCTGGATTTTTAAAAACTTAATTTTAAAATAATTTTAAATTTGTGGAGCAGTTGCTAAAGATAGAACAGAATCCTATATACCTTTCACTCAGCTTCCTCTAACGTTAACATCTTACATAATCATGATTACATTCGTCAACACTAAGAAATTAATGTGGATGATAATAACATCGACTAAACTGCAGACTTTATTCACATTTCACCAGTTTGTCCAGTAAAGTCCTTTTTCCGTTCCAGGATCTAATCCACATTAAAATACATATTTTGTGACTTAGGACTTCTAGGGTCAAATTTTCCAGGGTCATTTACTCTTTTATAGCCATTTCACAGATGTTTCTTGTGATTTTAAGCTTGAATTTGTTCACATTCTCAGGGTGAACATATTCACACCTAGATAGGGAGGCAAATATTTACTGAATGTGTTCTAGTCATAATCATGAGCTGTTAAAAGCAGGGATCTTGAAACAGCCTGAGTTCAAACTCTCTCCGACTTTCTATTGCTAACTGTGGAAAGTTGGTTACCAAGTTACCCAATATCTGGATTCCTTCCTTTATACATGTAAAAAAGTAGGGATAATAATAGTATTATAATACTATAGATACACAGAGTATGTGTGTGTGTGTATATGTAGATACACATACACATAATACACACATATACACATACGTGTACGCATATATACACACATGTATGTATATATACACACACATACTCTGTGTATCGATAGTATTACATATGTGTGTATAATACTATGTATATATAGTATTATATAATTATATAGTATATATGTGAACAAATTCAAGCTTAAAATCACAAGCAGCATATATGAATTGGCTATAAAAGAGTAAATGATCCTGGAAAATTTGACCCCAGAAGTCCTAAGTCACAAAATGTGTTTTTTAATGTGGTGCCCCAGATTAGATCCTGGAACAGAAGAAGGATCTTACTGGACAAACTGGTGAAATGTGAATAAAGTCTTCAGTTTAGTTGACTGTATTAACATCTACGTTAATTTCTTAGTTTTGAGGAATGTAATCATGATTGTGTAAGATGTTAACATTAGACGAAGCTGAGTGAAAGGTATACAGAATTCTATCTTTGGCAACTCCTCCGTAAATCTAAAATTATTTTAAAATAAAAAGTTTAAAAAACTTTTTAATATATATTATACACACTATAATAAAATTAGTAATATTAACTAAAAGTGTTGTTGAGAATCCAGTATTAATATGAGCAAAATGCTTAAAAGGATGTTTGACACATAGTAAACGTGCAACATACTACACATATTAGTATTATTTCATGCAGGTTTACATGATGTGCCCATCAAGGTAAGGGGCTTGGGTTCAATGATAGAGAAGAAAAATCCATGAACTGAACTCCAACTTTTTTGATATTGAGAAATGCCTACTTAAGTTGGCTGTTTAAAACCTTCCACTTATTTGAAAAAGATTATACTTAGGGTAGTTGGGTCTAAAGCCTACTTCACAAAAAGCTGTTTAAATAAAGTAATTTTAGGCTGGGCACAGTGGCTCACACCTGTAATCACAGCACTTTGGGAGGCTGGGGCAGGTGGATCTCCTGAGGTCATAAGTTCCAGACCAGCCTGGACAACATGGCGAAACTCCGTCTCCACCAAAAATACAAAAATTAGCTGGGTGCAGTGGTGCACACCAGTAATCCCAGCTACTCGGGAGGCTGAGGCAGGAGAATCACTTGAACCCGGGAGGCGGAGGTTGCGCCACTGCACTCCAGCGCGGGCGACAGAGTGAGACTCCATCTCCAAAATAAATAAATGAATAAAAGAATTTTAAGTAGAACATGGTTGGGCGCAGTGGCTCACGCCTGTAATCCCAGCACTTTGGGAGGCTGAAGCGGGTGGATAATGAGGTCAGGAGATGGAGACCATCCTGGCTAACACAGTGAAACCCTGTCTCTATTAAAAACACAAAAAATTAGCCGGGCATTGGTGGCGGGTACCTGTAGTCCCGGCTACTCGGGAGGCTGAGGCAAGAGAATGGCGTGAACCCAGGAAGGAAGGGGAGCTTGCAGTGAGCCCAGATCACGCCACTGCACTCTAGCCTGGGCGACAGAGCGAGACTCCATCTCAAAAATAAAAAAATTAAAAATAAATTAAAAAAAAATAAAATAAGAGAATTTTAAGTAGAATATTAATAGTGGTATGGAACCTAAAACAAAGTTCTCCTGGAATCCATCTTTCCCACTGCTGTCAAGCAGGGAATAGTCCTACACACTGGCTGGAAGGCTAGAAATGTACCATAATGAAGGAACCAGAGTGGAAGTCTAGCCTTCCTCCCGCCTCCTTTAACCCCAGTTAACTCCTGCTGTAGCAGAACCGGGCTAAAGTGAGACGGGTGATAGGGTTTCAGGTAACAGTTGTCCAGAGTGGAAAGGTAGGGAGAAGACAAGTCCTGGAAGATGTCAGGTCAAAAGGGTGGGCTCTTCCAAACGGTCACTGCACATAGAAACGCATAACTTAGAAACAGCTTGGGCTTAAAAACTCTATATTCTATTTAAAAAATATCTTTGGGCTGGGCGTGGTGGCTCATGCCTATAATCCCAGCACTTTGGGAGGCCGAGGCAGGCAGGTCACTTGAGGTCAGAAGTTTGAGACCAGCTAGCCAACGTGGCGAAACTCCGTCTCTACTAAAAATACAAAAAAATTAGCTGGGTATGGTGGCATGGGCCTGTAGTCCCAGCTACTCAAGAGGCTGAGGCAGGAGGATGGCTTGAACCTGGGAGGTGGAGCTTGCAGTGAGCTGAGATTGTGCCATTGCACTCCAGCCTGGGCGACCGTGCAAGACTCCATCTCAAAAGAAATAAAAATATATATATATATATTTTTATGAGATATAATTTACATACCATAAAATGTACCCATTCAAAGTATACACTTCAGTGTTTACATTGTTGAATGTATTACATATAAAATCAACTTTCTGGAGAGCTTAGTTTAAATTAGGCTTCACTTAGCTTAAATTGGGGTTTCAAATTATCCCAAGGCTGTTCAGTCACAATCACCAAATGCTACAACTTCAACTTCACAGGAAATATGCCCGCCACTCTCCTCAAGTTCAAGCAACAGCTTCAAACTCTGGTGTAATCACTACACTGTGTTTGGCTTACTCAATTTCTGCGTTTTTTGAGAAAAAAGTTTTCCTCCCCCAAACCCCAGGAGTGAGTCACTTACAACAGTCATGTAATGTAGCATTCGACCATCAACCCGTCCTTCATCAAACTGGGTCTTATATTGAGGGAGGCCAATGTCATCCAACCATCCTAAAAGAGAGAGGCCAGTGTTGCTACCGTGCCACAAAACACCTGTTCTTGTGATTAAAAAGAAAAAGCAGCTCTGTATATAATTCTTCCATTTTGTTAGAATAAAAACTTCTTACTAGTGACCCAGTTGAAATCCAGCTTCCCGTGATTGGTTTCTTCTTCAGATCCCAGGGCTTGGAGTGCCAGCTGGAGTTTCTTTCGATGAAGTGAATGCTTGATTCCAAGTTCCTGAAACAATAAACATTGACTTTATAATTCTATCTATATAGGCTGGGTGCCACTGGCAAAGGATGCAAATTTCTCCAAAATGAAGCTAGCACTAAAGATCCAATTCAATACTAAATGACAATCCTAACTTGCGCTAGTAAAGTGCTGTTGAACGAAGGTCCCTGAAAAGCCAAGACCACCACAATTAGCTTAGGGGCGTGTTAGGCATTCCCTAGTGACTCCTTTTCTTTGTAAGCTAGGAACTGTAGCATGCATAAAAAGAATTTGACTCTTATTTTGTGCAAAATATTAAATAATTGTGAAGAAATGTTAAATAATTAGACATAAATTGTAGGGTGCTTTTTTTTCCTTTTGCAAAGTGCATTGCATATATTACACTGAGAAAATAGGCCAATGATAAAGCCATATAATGATTTCGAGAAATATGAACTTAATTATGCTTATGTAATTATTTTTCATTAAAATGCCCAATGGCTTAAGTGTTCCATAAGGAATCATCAAGACCAGGTCCTCCCAAGACCATCAGAAAAAAATAAGCATGAAGCAATTGAAAACCCAAATTTTTATTTAGAGAGTATTTACTGGCTTCACTCATGGCCTTTTCTGGACTATAAAACAACCCTACATTCACATTGTCTTCTTCTCAGTATCCATTGTGTGAACAAAATAGAGAAGCAGTCACCTTCTCTAGATCTTGTTGAGAAGCCTGCAAAAGCGTTTGGCCAGATGCAATCCAGTGCTTGCCAGAATTCAGGTAGGAGCCCAAGCCCTGTTCCATCAGCCAATTGCAAACCTGCTCCTTGGTCCACTTGGCAAATGGCATATCCAAGTCACTACAGGAAAATGAGTAATTGCATGAAAAATAATCCAAAGCCAATCCTGTGGCTTATCATGAGTTTTAAACAACTATACATTCAATAGACATGGACATTCCCTGGTGATACACATTTGACCACGAAAAGCTTAATTTTTAGTATACATTGGAGGAACAACTGGTACTGGAGTTGAAAGTTATCTTCTAAGACCACTGTCTCATTTCAAATGAAACCACAAAAGATTTAATGTGACAGAGCAAGAACAAGTTCTACAGAAAAAGACTAAATTGGAAAAACATAAGTCACTGTATCAGTTTCAACCAATGTTGTCTGAAGACTGGATTCCCAAACAGGAAACTCAGTTGGAGTGAAAGAAACTTAAGTCTAATTTGAACTAACTTTAGCAGAATTATGGTTTATTTCCATATGGTAACCAATGAGAAGAGGGCAATATGTTGTCACTAAGTGTAGGAAACAATCAAAGCAAAATTCCTGTTCTCTTTTACTTAAGATACACAGATAGTGTTCTTGTTCCGCGGTGGGGACAGGGTGCGGAGGGGAAGATGAATGTGCTTTTTTAAAATAGCACAAGGAGCTCTACTGTGTTCAAAGACAACATATGGCAAATGAAACTGTTTGGTATTTGAAGAAGGCCAAAGAGGGTTTCCTCCTTGATGTAACCTATGTCCAGTGTTCCACCTGTATGGGAGGGGCTGTATTTAAAGGGTTTCTAGTCTATTATACTGTTAAAATATTTGGTATCAATGCCTTGTACTTTATGTTTGCCAACCCCACCCTTTTATACACAGTGAGTCAATGTAGCAGTTCTAAGCCAGCCCTCAACTTTGGTAAGAGTGTCAGAGCAGTTCTTAGAATCTTAATGGATAAAATATTATATAGTCCTGATAAATATAAGGATTTTGATAGAATTTTTGTCTTTAAGTACTTTCATAGATTCTGTTATATACTAATGTTTCTTGAGTAGTTACTATCTGCCAAATATTTAACACATATTAACTTATTTAATCTTCACAATCAGCTTTTGGAGTAGGCACTAATTATGATGATGAGAAAACTGAGACACAGGGCCTGGAAGCTGTTGCTCAAGGTCACCCAGCTGGTAGAAAGTGGTAAGGCCAGAAAGCAAATCCAAGTGGTCTGATCTAGAACATACTCTCATGTAAATATCCCATCTTTCCAAAGCTATGCTTTAGAGTACTTATAATTACCGTCTATGTAAAATTTAAGTTTCAGAGCCATTCTAACACAGATGCTGCTGACACTTTAGCTCTGGCCTCTCCCCTAGTTCACACAGCCCTCACCTTCTGTATGTTCATCAACCATTGACAAATTGCACTGCTCTAAAGATGATGTCCCCTTTCACTAGGCACAGCATTAAGCAATGACTTTGTTTAACCCAATGACAGTACTAACACTGCAGGACTCATGAGGCTATGATGCTTGGCAGAGATGCAAAAGTCTATCAGTTGGCTCTTCTTACTTGTTAGACTGTCCCAAGTCTCGAGACCAACCCAGTCGGGGTCCCGCGGTTGCCCTTGTCCCTCCTCTTTTGAATTCAGGCTCAGACATGTCGTCTGGGTTGAATGTAGTTGATTGACTTCTCCTAAGTCTGAAGAAGACATAACACACATGGCCAGTATTAGACCTGAGGAGGCCTTAGGCTTGTTAATCAGAGAATTTTTAACTAGTGCAGCTACCGGAACTAATCTTCTTTGTGTCATTAACATAGACATTTAAATTTAAACTTTAACTAAGACCCAATGAGTTAATAAATCCCACATCATAATCCAAACTTCCTTCCATAAGAGGAATACAAAGGCCTCACAAGTCCATACCCATTTCCAGCCACTTTAAGCAACATGTAAGACAGGGCCCACTCTACTTGTTCACTGCTTTACTTACTTTCCAAAGAGTTTCATGATACCTCTGGATTTCTTTTTGGAATCTGGAGATGGAGGTGGTATCTGGAAGGGACTGCTCCTCTGTGAATCTTTTGGCCGAGAAGAAGCACCAGCCAGATCTAGGTGCTCTGCTGTCTCTTTTTCTGTTTCAGCTACTCCAAGAGCAGAATACAGACAACGAATTTTAAAATATGGAATGAACATGATAAGATGTTAATCTTCTTGGTTCTAGAACTATTAAGAATTCTTTTGTTGGTCTATAAATCAGTAATTTACAAAGAGCACCTTATAAATATTAGAAATGGAACACACATATATGTTCTGCTCCATAGTTTACTGTGTTTAAAGTTAATAAAATTATAAGCCCTTTGGAGATTAAAAGAGGGTGATAGGATTGCCACACTCTTTCCTTGAGTGATTTGAATTCATGATGGAATTATTCCCAATCTTTCCATAGCACGTGGTACTGTTGATTACCTCCTACTTCCTTCAAAATCATTTCCTTTGGCTTCTTGACATGACCACTCCTACATCTGTCATCTGATAGTGTCTTTGCTGTAGCACTCCTGCTTTTTTTTCTTCCCCCATGCCACTTTAAGATTCTGTTCTAAGTGCCCTCTAGCAGATCAAAATCTCTGAGCCCAATCTCTCTCTCCAGGTCCTGTATCTAAATGCCTGTGATATTCCCAATTCAGTGTGTTGGGACATCTGGGACTTCACAAACTCATCCAATTTCCCCGAGAGTCTTTTCCTCTCTCAAATTTTTTTTTTTTTTTGAGACAGAGTCTCACTCTGTTGCCCAGGCTGGAGTGCAGTGGTGCGATCTCGGCTTACTGCAACCTCCGCCTACTGGGTTCAAGCAATTCTCTGCCTCAGTGTCCCAGGTAACTGGGATTACAGGCACCCACCACCACGCCTGGCTAATTTTTGTATTTTTAGTAGAGACGGGGTTTCACCATCTTGGCCAGGCTGGTCTTGAACTCCTGACCTGGTGATCCACCCACTTCGGCCTCCTAAAGTGCTGGGATTAAGGGCGTGAGCCACCTCGCCTGGCCTCCTCTCTTAAATGTTCTTATTTGTTATTTGGTTAATATTAACTAATACTGTTCCTGTTACTGTAGCTCAAACTCTGTCATTTTCCTTTTACTCCTTCTCCTTTGGCATTTATATCAAATCAGTTACCCAGTTCCAGCAATTCTTTATTTATGAAATATATTCCAATCTATTAAATCCTAGGCACTGAGAGAAGAGTGAACTGGATATGCATAATTTTTCTTTTGACATAAAATAAGTGCCTGTTGATTTTACCTTAAAAGAATCACATCCACAGTTGCCACTCTCAGATCTCCAAGCATTAACTATTTCAGTTCTTTTAGCTGTCCCTTAGTGAACAATCCCATACTAAGTATAAAACTAGTGAGATTTTATACTTTATAAAGGAAAGTAAAAGTTGTACTAAAATCACAGGAACAGTGTTTCAGCAAGATCTACAAGTTGCAGAAAGTTGATTTTTCTACAAAGCAGAGCTGTGATTATAGGTTATAATAAGCAGCATTTACCTCTTATCATTAACAAAACAGTTCTTCTAAGAAAGATGCAAAAAAAAAAAAAACTATTTGAAAATAGTTGTCTGAATAGATCAGTTTATCTTATGCATCCAGTGTTCATTCTAGACATTTATCTCTATAGAGAGAGAAGTCCTGTTTGCTGGTCCACGTGAATAGATAGGTAGATATCTATACAAGGTAACAGCACCTTTTGGAAAAACCCAAAGGAACTTTCCCAATTCAAATCCTTCAACCATGATGGGTACAGGTGCCCCTGAAAATGCTGCCTAGCTTGTTCTCATCTTAAAGCTACCATATTTCTCTTTTTTATTTTGAGAGCTTTTCCCCCCAATTTGTGCCCTGCCTTACAAAGAGGAAAACTAAGCTGCCTCTTTTCTAAAATCACTTTGTGGGATAACGCCTCAGATATCAAGTAAAGTTGCTTCTGTCATCACTAAATATTATCTCCATCTTCAAAGTAATAAAACGTCAGAAGAATGTTCCCCTAAGAGAAGTAAGCCTAAAACTATAATATTCCAAGTCTTCTATAAACTTCCTTATATGGCTAAAAAAATTTCTTTTTGGAGGCTGGGAGAAATGTAAGCATGGAGAATGGACTGCAAGGACCTGGGAGTTAGTGTGTGGTAATATGTACTTCCAGGCTGAAAGAGCTGCAAGGTACAATGCCAGGACATTCCTGCCCTGCACTCTAAGGAATGCTGCACACGTCTAGGTCCTCTCAAAGCTATTCACACAGTGAGTGTTACTAGCATTGGTTAAAACAGCGTTTAGGCTTGGAAGCAAAGCCTCTACAGAGTCCTTTTCAGCAGAAGGTGGAAAGAACACTCTGGAATAGAGAACTACATTTTCTGATTGCTGTCAGATCGCTTTCTAGAGATCACAGATGCCAAGAGCAGGGATTAGATTGGTTTGGAGCACAGTGCTGGTGAAGGCTGGCATGCAGGGGTACAATACCTAAGGTGGGTGCACTGGCACTTCGTTTACGATCTTCAGATATCCCAACAACGCACACAATCACACGCAGCCCAATGGAGAGAACACAGAGATGACAAAATGAAACACAGATCAGACTCCTCCTCACCAAATACACACCGTGGAGGAGAGGCATGCGGCACACCGTGCTTCCGATGTTACACACAGGCTCAATGTCAATGTTAATTTATCCACTGTCACAACAGATGGGAAACTCCATGATGAAGTCAAAGGGAATCATGATTTTAGGTCTTTCCACTAAGTTTATACCACAGGAGAGAGCAGGGTGAGAGTCTATATATCTTCACAACACTAAATTAAATCCACTGAACCATTTTTTGCTAAATTCCCCCTAAGTCATCCTTCGTTTCTGAGAAAGAGAAAGGAATCAGTGAATGAGGGAATAAGGGAAGGGAAGACACTGCTCTTTTCCTCCTTGTGGAAGAATCAGGGCAAAGGCATTTTGGCCGTACATACCCAAGTTTGGTGCACTTGCTGTTCTCTTGTTACTTTTGATTTTAAAAAAGCCCCGGCCAAAGGAAGATCTGACTTTTCGAGTGCCGAAGGGGTTGTCGTCCATGGAGGTGTCCTGCCCTGGGGGTCTGGGAGGAAGGGTCCCAAATGGCCTGCTTTCTGCCGGAGCTCTGTCCTGAGAGGCAGATAAGAATAGTGAAACAGCTTTCAGGCGCAGCATCCTTAGCACATGCCAGGCTAACAGCAAATACTCACTCATGCCACATCCATGAGTTTATTCAAAAGAAAAACTGAACTAGCACATCGATCGCCAATGTCAAATGCCTTATCAGAAGTTGAAAAAAAAATCAATTCTGAAAGCTACTTAAGAAACAACAACAAAAGCAACAAGGAAAACATGTTCATCACTAATCTAGGATCAATATGTTTAGGGCTTTAAATATTTAGGATACAAATATTCTTAAATTTTGTTTGCCTCATTCCTCAAAAGACATGGAGGCATTACATAACCAGAATAATGGCAGCAGATTTCTGACTTTTCCAACAACTATGACATGGATTTAGCTATAATACAGTTCATATTCTTATATTATAACTATGCCAATAGAAGCCCAATATAATATTATTTTACAAAGCAGGCATTAGTCCAAACTTCTACACCAGCAGTATAAGGAGACTCTACTCCAGTTATTTTAAATATTCTCCTCAAAGAATAATAAAATGAAGGCACGGTGAGCAACTTTTTTTGAGCTTTTTGGTTCTTTGAATTGGCAATTAGAGCTGGCTGTAACACAGCATGTTATATTATTTTAGTATTTATACAAAGATGCTTTGCCTAGACCAATGTCCTGAAGTGCTTCCCTGTTTTCATCTAGCAGTCTTATAGTTTCTGGCCTTATATGTAAGTTCTTAATCCATCTTGAGTTGATTTTTGTTGATTTGGTGACAGGTGGAGTCCACTTTCGTTCTTCTGCATACGGATATCTAATTTTCCCAGCACCATTTACTGAAGTGGGTGTCCTTTCCCCACTGTATATTCTTGACACTTTATACAAAGATGCTTTTGTCTTCTTGTTCTCATTTCTTTAATAATTCTTGCCCTCTGTTTTTTTTTTTTTTTTTTTTTTTTTTTTTTGGCAGAAGTAGAAATAATTCTTGCCCTCTGCTTCTTTTTTTGCAGAAGCAGAGAAAAGGGTGAGGGGATATAGGTATTTTAGGTTATTTTACTCTATATATCTATAGCTCACAGAAACCAAAAGTTTATAGATGGCACCATTTAGTGGTATTATTATCCCTGGCTCAACAATGACGTCAAAATCATTTAACCACTTATTGAACTGAAAAGACAAAAAGGATTTTAATTATAGCTGTTGCCACTAGCTGCTTTGTCAGTTCTGTCCATATATAACTCTGGCACTAAGAGCCAACAGTCAAGAGACTGGATCTGGAAGTAGCCTATCAAGCTGTAATCTTTGCAAGGTTAATGACAGAAAATCAGAGGACAGAACAGGCACAGTGGCTCATTCCTGTAATCCCAGTACTTTGAAAGGCAGAGGTGGGCGGATTACTTGAGCTCAGGAGTTCAAGATCAGCCCGAGCAACATAACAAGATCTCATCTGTACTTAAAAAAAAAAAAAAAAAACAAAAACAGCCCAGTATAGTGGTGCATGCCTGCAATCCCAGCTACTTGAAAGGCTGAGGTGGGAGGATCACCTAAGCACAGGAAATTGAGGCTACAGTGAGTTATAATTGCATCATTGCACTTCAGCCTGGCTGACAAAGTGATACAATCTCAAAAAACAACAACAACAACAACAACAACAACAACAAAAAAAACATCGGGGAAAGAAGAATTGAGCACATGCTGATGACATCTTTAAACATACCAAAATGTTTGCTTTAGATGGACACTGGGTGTATAATCTAATGGTAATCTAAGAAGGACTTTTGGGGAGGTCTAAAGAAGCTCAGTTACGGTCATTAAGAACATTTTTGTTCTTAGGAACATTTTGTTTCTTAATAACTTATTGAAGTGAAATTCATAACAAAACTAACAATTTTAAAGCGCACAATTCAGTGGCATTTAGTATGTTACGATGTTGTGCAACCACCACCTCTACCCGGTTCCAAAACATTTCCATCATTTGAAAGCAAAACCCCTTACCCTTGAACAGCTTCTCCCCATTCTTCCCTCCTCTCACCACTGGTAAACACCGATCTGCATTCTATTTCTATAGATTTATCTGTTCTGGATATTTCACATAAATGGAATCATATAATATGTGAACTTTGTGTCTGGCTTCATTTGGCATAATGTTTTAGAGGTTCTGAAAGTTTTTATCCACTGGAGACATTTAAGCAATTTACAGGTAATGGAAGTAGCAATATTTTTGCATTGTAATTTGGACAAAAAGTTACCTCTGATGTCTTCTGAATAGATTCCTTTTCCTGTTCAAAGCAAAGCAATAACAGTATTTAAGGTTGTTAGGGAAATCCTTTGTATAATTCTGAATTTGTCACATACAACTCCATAAGTTAAAATAATTTTATATCTACTTCTAAGCTACAAAATCTTAGTATCATTTATTTTCCAAAATGTTTTATTAAAGTCTCCATTTTTGGTTTTACATACTATTTTCAATCCTTCATATTCATACTTCTTAATATTTACTGTTAAACCTAATATCTAATAATTTTCCACTAAAAACCACAAAAACCTCTTCATGAGAGTTTTATTTGCAAAAAGGGAAAAGATGAAGATCCCTAAACAGTTTTTTCTCAGGATAACAGACAAAAAACACAGAACCCACCCCGTCAGATGTCTCCTTCTTCAGATTGCCCAGGCTGCTGGACTTTTGCAGACTTGAAGTTCTAAAAATAACAGCAATAACAATTAATAATAAGTGGCTCCAGTGCCACTGTTTCTAAGTAAAACATCTTGGAAAGAAACTACAATTGCATGTGGGTTGAATCCCAGTAATAAAAGAAAATCTGGAATCAGGCAGTCACTTATGTGCTTAACTAAATGACAACATTTAGTTCTTTTAAAAGCAGGGGTGATTAACTGTCCTGCCAATAATTCTGACTGCCCTACACGTGTTAGAAGAGCTGGAAAAGCACTTAGGACTAGCCTTGTGATGTCAATATTCAAAAATAAAGCAGTGTTTTCTGTGGACTAGTGGTGCGTCCTCTGCATGTACATATTTAAACTAGGAACTTTAAAAATACTCATGTACTATTTATATCTAATCCTTCTAATTAAAATAAAGAATGGAAGTTTTACTTTTCAATTCACGAGGGAATCACTTTTCTGAGCCTGGAAAAGCAATTCATTTTATAGTTCTAATTAAAGCATAGTAGAGGAATCCCTAATGCTGCCCATAATAATTCATTTGCTATCCTAGTGAAGGGAAAGAGACACTATAAACATCCAGAGACTCTCTCTTTCACATAATTAGTATTCAATTATGTAGAGCTGGTGTTACTAAAAAATTGAAGGTAGAGATATGTGACCAGTTTAGAGAGAGTGACAGAGAAGTAATGTATTTGGCTCTATGAAACAGAGTAATATAAATACGCACATTTACAAACGTTTAAAAGGCATTTCTTCTGTATTTATATGTATACATTGCCAGAAGTATCAACTACCAAATAAAGTAAAAGATAATAGTGAGAAAAGAAAAGATCTCATTTTTGAGTACTGCTCTGAAAATAGACTTTCCTAATTTAATCCAGACTTTAACTTGGATAAACATAGATATTAGGTCAGTTCATAAAACTGAAAGTGCAAAAAAACCCATCTCAGCTTTTCCAGCATCACATCATTCCCTGTGACGCCTTCCCACTGGACTCAAAATATGTCAGTGCAAAAATGAATTAAAAGCATTGAACTTCAAATGAAAACTGATTAAGCAAGGCTAAAGACCTGCAAAACCCCGGCGTGAGATAATAGCAAATGAGAAATTATTTCTTTGTAAACTTACAGCTCCCCACCTTCACCCCCACCCAATTATTATAGCTGCATTAATTTATTCAGTAATTGAACAGCCTCAGTCATTTGCTGTTAGTATTAGTAACTGTTAGCATAACAGAACTCTCTTCCTCCTCTAGCCTCAATCACATTTTCACATTGAATAAAATGTAACTTACGAAAGATTATCACACAGTTGGGTATCAACAGTGGCACCAAGGATTATCTTTCCATCACTAAAATGTAAAGAACAAAAGGTATTTATTAACCTCACGAATAAAAGACCATATATGTTCTAAGTGAACAGATATGTAAAAAACAAAAAATTGAGCAAAGGAAGCTATTTCCATTTTTTAAAAAATGTTCTATTTGGCCTAAAATAAGACGAGGCAATTTGGGAATATGTTGGCAAAACATTCTATTTGCTTACAGACAAACTACTGTATCCTTTTTCCTGTCCCCTTCAGACCCATCCTTCAAATGCACTCACAGCACATGACCGTGACTATTTAGTTTACAATCCTTTCACAGTTACCTATGACCTAGGACATAAAAATCCAAGTTCCTTAAACTGTTTTTTCCTTTTTTTTCTTTTTGAGACACAGTCTCGCTCTGTCACCCAGGCTGAAGTACAGTGATGTGATCTCAGCTCACTTCAGCCTCCGCTTCCTGGGTTTATGTGATTCTTGTGCCTCAGCCTCCGAGTAGCTGGGATTACAGGTGTGCACCACCACACTCAGCTAATTTTTGTATTTTCAGTAGAGATGGGATTTCGCCATGCTGGCCAGGCTGGTCTCAAACTCCTGGCCTCAAGTGATCTGCCTGCCTTGGCCTCCCAAAGTGTTGAGATTATAGGCGTGAGCCACCACACCCAGCCAAGTTCCTCAAAATCTCTTTCGAACCTGACCACCCTACCTCCGCAGCCTCATCTCTTATCGCTTCCTGCTTCACACTTTTTATTTCCATAATACAGAACTGATTACAGATCCCCCAATGGACGTCTTGCTGTTTCTTGCTTTTCTAGGTAAAAATTGTGTCTGTAAATAAATGCAATACATCTGTGTCTTTGGTTGATCTACTGTTTTGAACATTTATATTGTACTGTTAATAAATGACATACTTTTCTTCAAATGAAGTCTCTGGCTTAGGAGTCAACTTTGATTTTTCAGAAGTTTCCATGCTTATAGTTGCTGGCAATAATGAAGGGATGGAAACTTGCAAGATGGTGGTATGGAACTGTAATGTAATCATAAAAAGTCAAAAGTCAATCAATCAACCAATCAATCAAAACAAAACACAAGCCACAGAGTAATTAAACAAAAGTAAGACAATTAAATGGTCTATTGACAAAAATCTCATAATCATTGTTCAGAACTCTATAAAATGATTTCGGAATATAAACATCTACACAGAAGAAGTACTAATCAAGGAAATCATTCTGGAGGAAGGAAATTTTTTAACTTGGTTCTGAATAAGACACTGAATGTTGTGAAAAAGATGGTATACCATTAAGCAAGTTAACAGTAATGTTTTTTTCTTTTTTTGAGATGGTGTCTTGCTATGTTGCCCAGAATGGTCTCGAACTCCTGGGCTCAAGCAGTCTCCTGCCATAGCCTCCTGAGTAGCTGAGATTATAGATGTGTGCCACCGTACCCAGCTAGTAATAGTAAATCCTAACAACCTTAAGCCCTGGCTGAAATGTTGGCTCTGACACACTTGCCTAAGTGATCTGTGATCTTAGCAAATCACTTCGCGAGGCATCCATTAGTTTCGCCCTCTGTAAAATAAGAATGACAATGCCTACCCTGCAGGTTGTGACGATTTAACGTAAGATTTCGGTAACATGTTTTGCTTTCAACACTCTATTATTACTATTATTTTTTGGTCTCAAAATGGTCTCACTTTGTCATCCAGGCTAAAGTACGGTGCTGCGATCACGGCTCACTGCAGCCTCGAACCTCTGGGCTCAAGTGATCCTCCCACCTTAGCCCCATCAAGTAGTTGGGACCACAGGCATGCGCCACCACAGCTTGCTGATGTTTAAAATTTTTTTGTAGAAACAGGGTTTCCCTATGTTGTCCAGGTTAATCTGGAACTCTGTGCTCACGCAGTCCTCCTGCCTCAGCCTCCCAAAGTGCTGGGATTACAGGCATGAGCCACTGTGTCCAGTGAAAAGCTCCATTTTTACTTTGATTTCTACTACTAATCTTATACGGAACATTGGTCAAGCCAGTTAATTATTATTCTATGTGCGAACTAGTTGACTAATTTCAATTAACATAATTGATGAAAAGTGTAATTAAAACCAATTACAATGGACTTTGTGGCTACCACTTAAAACACTTTGCTTAATGATAATAATAATAATACAGCAACAAATAAAATGCATAACACATTTTCTCAAACAAATGCTTTGTGTATCCTAAGGAAAGAGCCTGTGAAATAATTTTAATACTTCGGTTTTCAATAATTTTTTACAACCGTAGAGCAATTAGATTGTGGGCCACGTCATAAATGAATGAACGAAAAATATTTCAGTAAAAAAAAAAAAAATGAACAAAGTTTGTCACAATGAACTCCTACCAGTCAACCAGTGACAGTTCTTCACTTCTGAAAGCTGCCTGGTAAGGACTCACACCAGTGAACACACTTCTACACGCCAACCAGTCAGCAACAGTCTCACCTTAGTAACCACACATCTACAGTGGACGTCGACTCACACTTGCCTCAGAAAGTCCACCAATCCTTGAGCTCCAACCATCCCAAAACCCACATATGATCAGCTAGAAGAGAATGTACTTGACTGGGAACACTCACTCACTTAAGTAAGCAATAAATTCAGCTTTGTGATTTTTGTTTCTGTTATTCAGTGGTGGGCTCATCCTTTAACGCAATAAAAGGTTATAAAATGTGAAATCATATTATTTATAAAGTAGGAGATTATTTCACTATCAACTTTTTCAGTTTGAATCTTTCTGGTGAATTCTGGGCAACTTATTTAGCCATCATCGCTGTTTCCTGAAGTTCATTTGTCTCTTGAGATTCCTAATCATGAGGAAAATATAACTAAATTAACAGACCCATTTTCTTGATCTTTTTCAAACTTTTAGACTTTAATTCCAAACTCAGATCCCCCTCCTGGCTTTTCTTTAAAAATGTGGCTGAACTCCCTCAATCCTCATCAAACCATTCTTGTTACAAACTTAAAACCGGTAATTAAACTACAATTCACATAGCAAAGACTTTTTCTAAAAGGACGTGAGATTATTTGGGTGTACCCTACATGCAACACTAGTTCTATAATTGCAGCATACTCATGGGCTGTCAAATATTATTTTTGCTTTCAATATAAATATATATCTAACAATTAGGGGATATTTTCCACCACAGTATTTCTTATTCCTTAACTAATTCCTTGATTAATGAAATATTTCAGCCCTCTCCTACATTTAAGAGAGAAATTTTCATTGTCTTCTCCTTGAATTCATTTTCATTCAGTTCAAATTTCATCTTCTCATTGTGTAATTATCAGCAACAGATAAAAAGTAAAAATGCCACTTGGTTTCTTCTCACTACCTATGGTAAAATGTGAGAAGAGAAATGACCAAAACAGGAACTGCTAAAATAAGGAAGCCAAGATTGTTTAGACAATGAAACTATTTCCCATTCCCGGTCTCTCTAGGTGAAAAAAATTACACTAAAATTAAGAAACAGTTTCAGGGCAAAGGTCAAGCACAAGGGCTATCAGGAGAACATGGTCTTCAGGTGAGCCAAGGATGTGGCTGTAAAACCCTTTGCTAAGACCTCAGGATGGACTAGACTAGAATCAAATAAAAATAGAAAAAAAAAACCTTAGGAAGATTAGAGTAGTACTGTCTCATTGAACCTTTGAAAAATGATCAAAGGCTCTAAAAGCAATGGGATGTCCCACTGCAGCCTTACAGGGAACCTTAGCTACAGAGATAGGCTTATGGTGAAGATAGCTGTGGATGTGTTCTTCTCTAATTCAGTGAATTATAACATGATTCATATGAAATTCTAAATGTTTAAAGTATTACACCAAATTAGACTCAAAAGGACAGAGATAATGGAAAATGAAGAGATGAATTTGGAGATCTTTGGGCATTTTTGCAGGCACAAAACTGAGAAAACTACTCATCTGCAAACACAGGCAAAGGAAGGATGACTTAGAGGGAAGAGCCAATAGCCCAGAGGATTGGCAACACGTGCCTGGCCGGATTTTGGAATTGCTATGGACTGGTGACACCTGTGAGCCTTCCCGCTCCCCTTTTTAAATGGGAGTGGCTACTGCAGTAACATTATGCCTGTCCAACTATTGTATGGGTGTGTGGAGGACAGATAACTGTCCTTGAAGTCCACAGCTCTTTAAGTCAATGGAACAGTCCCCAAGGAGCTGTGCGCAAGGAACTGTACCTGAGGAGCTTCACCCACATCTCAACCTGGTCTGGATGACAAGATCCTGGGATGTTGACGCCTCACTGGAATGAGACTCAGGGGTCTTCGGAAAGGGGGCGAGTGTCTTTTGCATGGGAGAGGGATGTAAAGTGGTATAGCCAGAGGGTAGATTATATTTTCCAAATATGGTTGCACCAATATATCCCATCCCATATGTCCTAACAATGTAATGTTGTCACTTGTTCATCCAGAGGTAGGGTAGGGTCTGTGTTTCCTCTCCTTGAATCAGGGTGGGCTGTAGGCCTGTGGCTACAGCAGAAGAGATGCCGTGTGATTTCTGAGATAAATCATAACAGGAGATGCAGAGTTGCCCGGGCCTCCTGGAATGCTCACCCTTAGGATTGTGAGGAAGCCCAAGCAGTCACAGGTAGTTGTTCTAAATGGGGCCTCAGCTGAGGTCCTAGCCAAAAGCCAGCCTCAACCACCAGACATATGAGTGAGTTAGCCTTCAGAAGACTCAGGCCCAGGCCTTCACGCCACTCCAGCTGATGCCAAGTGGAGCAGAGACGAGATGCTCATGCTGAACCCTGCTGAAGTGCAGAGTCATCAGCAAAAGAAATGCTGTCATTGAAGCCACAAACTTTCGGTGTGGTGTACAATAGATAGCAAACAGATTTTCATGCCAGTTTGATGCAAACTAAGGAGTGTATAACTGCTTACTCCTCTCCAGTTGCTTCTTCCAAGTCTAAAGAAGTCAGAAGAAAATTTTATTCAATTATCTTTCAGAGTCACCATCAGAAGTGGCCAAAGTCAATTTATTTATATAACCTCACTTGAGTTGGTAATGGAACTGAGAAAGGAACCCATGTTTTTCACGTTATGAGCAGTGTTTTAACTGTCAATAACGCAGTCTCTTCAACATGAAGGAAATATCAAAAGTCTATTAATACCTCTTCAGGAACACTTGTGTTAAATGGGTCACGACTGGGAGATCCCATTACTGGAGTGGGTGATGGACTTTTCTCTAGATCACTGAAACCCTGTGCATCCAGCAAAGTGGAGATGGAACCGGAATTGAGCAGATCTTCATATTCTCCATCTTTGCCTAGGAAAAGACAAAGCAAAGAGAAGACAACAGCAGTTTTTGATTTATATTTCACTTTTACAGGAAGATAAGAAATCCAATTATATTGAACATAAAATTTTTTCTGATCCTCAAAAATCAGAGTCAGCTTCTCCTGGCATCCCTTGAAAAACAACATAGGACCTAGGAAACAGCATTTGAAACTGAACAACTAGGGCCAGGGGCTCTTGGGCCACAGTGGGTACCTATGATATTAATAGACAAAGTCGTACTCGATACATTGACTCATCAGAGGGAAAGAAAATTAAAAGTTAACTTTTTCCAACAACTCTCTTGTAATTTTGTTTTAAAATCCGGGGCTTACAAATTTTAGTGTAGAAATAATCAAACTGAATAATACCTGGTACAAAAACAAATTCCAAATAGCAACAAAGTCCCATTTAAACAACTTAGTTTTCATCACTGCTGTGCTCTTGAAAAAATATAGAAAGAATAGAAAAAACAAAAAGACAGACGACCTTTGATCTCTCAAGAGGATCCTTTTATGACATTTTAAAGCAAAAAAAGTCTGATGGAAAAAAGCAACCACATATTCACCAAAGCTGCAACCTTGAGAATTTTTTTTTTTTTTTGCATCTCTAGAAATCAAAAGGATTAAATGGTGAAAGCGCAGTGCCAGATATTCTTTTTTAAAAACAGAAAAAAAATGATACTTAAGACTCTAATCTACAAATAATATGAAATGGTAAATCATATACTTGTTTAAAGATCTTAATCAGACCACAGCTTCTTAATTTAAGTTTCACTAGAATGTTATTCTAATTTTATTAGAATTTAGTGTTATTAGAATTGTGTGAGGATTAACTAAATATAACTCCTAGTGAGAAATCAGTTTATACAACCCTTTATTGGAACAGAACATAGTTTTCAAGGGTTTATGAAATCTGTGCTGCTGTACCTCATTGAAAACTATCTCTTTCATTTACATGTTTGTATGCACAGGAAAAAAAAGCTAGAAAGAAACAATAAAAAAAATGCCAATAGTGATCATGCCAGTGCAATTATGAGTGATTTTTATCTCTTTTCTTTATTTTCCAAATGTTTTACAATATAGTCTAATTAAAGGAATTAATTTTTTCTGCCTTGGTTTTAAACATAAGAATTGGACAGATGAAACTCTATAAAATTAAACAATATTTTAAATGAGATGCATATGTAAAAACCACTTACAAATTTGCAATATTCCATAGGATAGAGACTCTTTTTCTGAAGGCATGGAAAATGCTGAGTGATGAGAACTGCTAGTCAACACTGATTATCAGAGGTTCATTTGCTCACTCAGATATTTATAAAATCTAATATGCCAGACCCTGCATACAATTTTTTTTTTCAAAAATCCTGATCCAAAGCAGGATTTTCCTTCTCTGCGAACTCACCAAAATTAAAATTTCAAAATCTGAGTGTTTCATGGGGACCTTCCAAAAGAATTGTTTATTTCCAGTGCTTACGTTGAGAGCAAATAACTCTACCTATGCATTGCTAAAAAACAAGAGCCCTTTCAGATTTCCTCCACATTTGAGGATGGCCAATTGGCCCATCTGCAGATAAAATAATAACGAATACAACAAAATGCACAACTATCTTTATGTACCTGTTTTACAGGGTTTTTCTGAACTTACCATGTTCAAAGCTGAACTCAATCCTCCTTACCCAGCCCAGTGTTCCTTCTCTAGGCTTCCCCATATCAGTAAATGGAACCATCAGCTACCCAGCTGCTTTAGTTGGAAAGGTCTTTCTTGATCTCTCCTCTCTTCTTCACTCTCCTCCTCTATCTTATTACACCACTGGGTCAATCCACCATAACATATTCCCAATCAGCAACTACCAGATTTTTTCACTTGGAATACTGCAAATCTCAGAATTGGTTTCCGCTGCTCCCAATACTGCTCACTTCCCTCCATGGCCCACGTGTTACAAAGACCTTGCGGCTGACTTTTTTTTTTTTTTTTTTTTTGAGACGGAGTCTCACTCTGTCACCCAGGCTGGAGTGCAGTGGTGCAATCTTGGCTCACTGCAACCTCCACCTCCCGGGTTCAGGCAATTCTCCTGCCTCAGTGTCCTGAGTAGCTGGGATTACAGGCACTTGCCCCCACGCCCAGCAAATTTTTTTGTATTTAGTAGAGACGGGGTATCACCATGTTGGTCAGGCTTGTCTCGAACTCCTGGCCTCAGGTGATTCACCCGCCTTGGCCTCCCAAAGTGCTGGGATTACAAGCGTAAGCCACCATGCCTGGCCACTGCTGACTTTTAAAACCCTTCAGTGAGTCCCTCTGCACTTGAGCATGAGCTTAACTCCACCCATTGCATGACCAGTGGTTGCTCATCATCATGGTCTCATTTCATCCCCTCTCCCCACTGCCCACCACCTTGCAGCTGCACTGGTGTTCTCCCTCTTAAGCATGCCACATTCTTTTCCCCCTAGGCTCTCTGCATATGCTGTCGTTTTCTCTCTCTGGAATGCTATCTCATCAACTCCTTAGAGAGGCACTCCCTGACCAACGACTCTACAGTACACTGACTCCTCAGGCTGGACACTTTCCGGCAGAGTACAGTTCTAATTGTTCAATTAATGAATGAGCTACCTAATTTGGGATGATGGGTATGATCCAGGAAAGAAACTGAGGCCAAATGTGTAAGTTTATGGCCACCTAGAGTCAACCAAAGTAGAAAAACTTTTCGAGCTACACTCTACCTTTTTTACCTTGGGCCAGTACCACAGTATCTTGCATTTTCTTGTACCTGTTCAGGCACTGTCGAAGATCTTCTATTTTTCGATCCTAGGAATAAAATAAATTATAATCTTTAATCCTATGTTCTTAAAAGAGTAACAGTAATCGCTTTTACATAAAGAATATGCATGATTCTGCCGAGAGAGCATTTTAAAAAAAGAATAAGCAGATGTGAATTATTTACATTATTTAAAGAATATTTCTAAGCTTTAGGAGAACTGGTAATAACTAGACTATGTTTCCTACATACATTAAAGATATGGAAAAAGTACCTCTAAATTTAGAGATTCTATCTTTTAGCTGCCATCTTTAAACAAACAAAAACAAAACAAGGTAATAAGATGCAAAACAAAAAAATAAAAAAGTCAGCTTCAATTACTCTCCTCTCTAACTTATAAATCAAACCTCGAAAGAAAGGCCCCCATCTTCTGTCTTTCTTAGCCATCATTAATCACCATCTGGCTTCTCCACTCTCAAAACACTCTACCAAGGTGACCTCCTATCTATTAAAAACAATGAACACTTTTCATTCTTTTTTTTTTTTTTTTGAGACAGGGTCTCGCTCTGTTACCCAGGCTGCAGTGTAGTGGTGCAATCTTGGCTCACTGCAGCCTCAATCTCCTGGGCTCAAGTCATCCTCCCACCTCAACCTCCTGAGTTGCTGGGAGTACACGCATGCAGCACTATGACCAGCTCATTTTTGTATTTTTGTAGAGATGGGGTTTCATCATGTCACCCAGACTGCTCTTGAAATCCTGGGCTCAAGTAATCTGTCCACCTTGGCCTCCTGAAGCACTGGGATTACAGGCATGAGCCACCATGACCAGCCCCAACCTTTTTCTAATTTGACCTCTATATGGCATTTGGCTGACCTCACTCTTTCCTTCTCCTCTCACTTATCCATCCACTCTTTCTTTTCTTCCATTTTTGTTTATCAATCCTTTGACCAGATAGCTGCCAAACTTCCATGACTCCCATTATCTTCTCAGACTAATAAAATGCTAGAGCTTCCAGGTTCTGTCCGTGACCCTCTTTGCTTTTCCCATGTGCTCAACTGTGCTATGAAAATGGCCTCCCTAGCTCCTCCCATTCTCATTCCGGGCCTGGCCATGTGGCTGGCTTTGGCCAAAGAGATATCAGCAAATGTAATTCAAGCAAAGGCTTGAAAAGCATTTGCCCTTTGTGGCTGCCCTGTGGTGTGGCTCTAAGGAACCCTGAGGAACTATGTGAAGAAGCCTAGCCTAGTCTACTGGAGGATGGGAGACCATCTGGGAAACAGGCTAGTTCTCCCAGCTGTGGCCAACCTAAACCAAGCTGTCAATCACCGGACACGTGAATGACACTATCCTAAATTATGCATGCAGTCTCATCTAAGCCACCAGCTGACTGCAGACGTCAGGTAAGCCAGCCGAGATCAGAAGAATCATCTAGCCAACTCACAGAAGTACGAGAAATAATAAATGTGGTCTGTCACAAAGCAAAGGCTACCTGACACATCAACTGTGGCTTAGTCTAGACCAAACTACAACTCTACATTTCTCCTAAAATTGATGGGCCTCACTCCCCATCAATCTATGTTTCTACATTAATCCTAACATTTAGATTCATGTTCCAACTTTCTGTAAGAAATCTCCTTAAGAATGTCCCATAAGCATATTGGATAGACTAGATCTACAATTAAGCTCATTCTTTCCCTTCAGTACTTGAGCCTGTGCTTGGATTTCCTTAACTCCTTAAGAGCACCATCCACTCACCCAGTTGCCCAAACCAGAAACTTACTCTCGTTTTTCAAATCCAGAGACCTTAAATCTTGTCAACCCGTAAATTTCTCTAAAGCCTCTTCCCACCTTACCACTTCACTGCTATTGCGTTACTTCAAGCCCTCTTCATTTCTCACCTATTTTAACAAACTTTTACCTGTTGACCTGTCGTCACTCTCCCATTCTGCTACCAGAGTTAGCTTTCTAAAATGGCAATTTAATCATGTCACTGCCTAAGGTTTACACGCTAAGACCTTAAATCAAGAACATGGTGCGTGAAGCGGCCTGCCCCCTGACTGAGCTCTGTGGTCGGCCCCACGCCCCCTCCTTCACCTGCACTGCTCAATCCCAGCATGCACTGTGCTGTTTCATACCTGGTCTCAAGACAAGTTTTGACTCATGGGCCCTTTGCTTAAGAAACCTTTATTTTCCCAGTGAACAATTCTTGCTTTTCCCCAGAATTTGCTCAAATATGTCCTCTTTGAAGTCTTCTGAACCCCCGACCCCATGAGGAAGTTATGTTACTCTGGGTGCTCCTATAAAGGTTTGAGCATCTCATAAGTCCTCATTCAACACTGGGAGTTTTGTTTGCTGTTGCTCGTTGAGGGACAGAAATGAAAACAAAATTAATTTCAGTGATTTTTTAAAAAATAAAAGTCACGGTGGGCAGCTTGCTAATTCCTTGTCTTTTTATTCAATAGTGGGAAACATTAGCAAAAAAGGAACCTGTATGAGTAGGTATGATGATCAGTTTATTTCCAGGCAATAAAGAGCAAATAAAGAGAACGCAAGGCAAAAATAAACAAGGAGATAAGAAAAACAGAGTAGTCAAGAATGAGAGAAAGAAACTTACAATGGGAGAAAAGGATCAAGCCAAAGTTCTTTGACATTCTGTTGTTTTTTACTTCCTTGAAATTACTCTTTTTTGGGGGAAATATTCCCTGGTTCTATTCATTCAGGCAGATAAGGGGAGAGAAGTTCTGATGACATCAGCTGAACACAATTGCGGCTGCCTGCTAGATACATGGATGGTCAGGCAGGCCATGAAGAAACCCACTGTTTTCGTGGGGTAACTGCATCCCTGCCCTTAGCAGGATGAAACATCAGATGTGGATAACAAGAACCAACTGGCGGGGGAAAACCTGTGGAAACCCTGGAATGAAGCCAAAGTAGCTGAAGTAAAGACTGTGCCGCTGTTTTCTGGTATTTAATCTCTCAGGAGAGCAGAGACAATCACAGATGTGAAACAGGCCAGGAGTGTAAAGGAAATAATGAGTAAATGGAGGACAAAATCAACATGACCATGAAGCTGAGTGAGGCTGTCAAGTTAGCTCCTTCAGGGCCCACAGGTCAGCCCAGAATTTTCAGTGCCCACACACAGGATCTACTATGGAATGTATCCTCTCTCTGTCACCTGAATATGCGGAACTGATCAGAGAGTTTGAACATTTTCTGAATTCATGGGGGCAGAGTTCTCAGTGGAGCCAGTGCAGCTCCTCCCTATTCCTGTGCATACAGCCCACCTAGGAGTGTGCACACCTGCCCCTCACTCCTAGCAGTGTTCTTTCTGGGCGTGTTCTTTTAAAATGGAATAGCTCATGAAATTGCATGGAACGGTCAAAATGGTGTTAAAAAACATCCACATATATATTTAAATTTCATCTGGATACCTTTTCTTCATTTGCTGCCATCAAAGACTCCACAGCTTTCTTCATTTTTTGTACTTCGATGTCTGAAAACAACACCAGATCAGAAGTCAGTTTAGTTCACACGTGTGACAGTGATCAGAAGTTATTTACTCTCCAGACTGAAATATTTTAAGGTAAATATGTTAACGATTTCTTTCATTTATTCTTTTAAAAGGGCACATTTAACACCCATATTCTCTTTTAGGGAAAATCTGAAAAGATGGACGTCTTCTATCTCACCTGAACAGTTGCCATTCTAGAAAGAAAACAAGGGTGTGTGAGAACTAGCTATCCTCTCTTAAAGCAACGAGAGAATCTTCATGAGAACACTGAACGTGAAATTTCAGTGCTATAGTAATAAAAACATGTTTTTAAAAAAGGAATCTACAAAGCAGTGCGTGAAAGCCATGAATGGTATATATAATGACAAAAGCAGAGAAAATGATAGTTATAACCAAGATAGAGGCATGAATGGTAGGAGCCTGATGGCATGTAGTATTTACATGAGTAGTCATGCTAAGAAGCTGGTTGTAGTTCCATACATAAGCATAATAAGTACTTTGCTTCATCTATAAACTTCATTTCCAATACTACCTTAAGATAGATTTCAAGACATAAAGGCCAAAGTAAGCTGAATGTGATTCTCCTTAAAATTTGATATTCAAATACAAAAGCATGTTACTTGAATAATAAAAAACTTAAATATTTTAAAGATGAAAAGTCACTCCAGGGCCTGGTGCAGTGGCTCATGCCTATAATCCCAGCACTTTGGGAGGCCAAGGTGGGAGGATTGCTTGAGCTCAGGAGTTTGAGATCAGCCTGGGCAACAGAGCGAGACCCTGTCTCAAATAAATAAATGAAAAGTCACTCCAAAGCGATATCACAAACTACAAAATCGAAACAGGAAAAAAAAATCAGCTAAAGTTGCCTGCTTCTGAGAGAAAAAAAAATTACTGAAGATAATATTTTTTTTAGAGACAGCGTCTTCCTGTCATTCAGATGGAGTGCATGGCACAATCACAGCTCACTGTAGCCTTGAACTCCTGGGCTCCAGTGATCCTCCCACCTCAACTTCTTGAGGAGTTGGGATTACAGGAGTGAGCCACCACATCCAGTCTTCTTAAGATAATTTTTAAAACAGTGATGCATCATTCTGCATTGGTGTAACATTTTAAATTAAGATATATTCTATAGGAATTGAGAATTTAACATCTGGGGGAAAGAGCCCCTAAGGAGTTAATTTTTTTTTTAAGAGATGGGGGTCTCACTATTGCCCGGAATGTGGTACAATGGCAAGATCATAGCTCACTGCAGCCTCAAACTCCTAGATGCCTGGGGCTCAAGTGATCCTTCCACCTCATCCTCCTGAGTAGCTGGGACTACAGGCATGCACCACCATGCTCAGCTAATTTTAAATTTTTTTGTAGAGACAGGATCTCACTATGTTGCCTAGGCTGGTCTTGAACCCATGGCCTCAAAAGTGATCCTCCCACCATGTCTGGCAGGATTTATCTTAATGTTGCATTAAATATTCAGGCTCCATTAATCAGCTGAATTCAATCTCTGTTGTAACAATGTAACATGTTCAAAGGAGCTTCTAATAGATCTCAGACAAATAGTGGACTTCAAAACATTGAAAAACAAAAGCAAATTTCAAAATTATCTTTCAACTCTGGTAAACCTTTAAAATCATGAGTTTTCGTACTATAAGAGTTGTTTTCTCCTCTGACCCTGTATCACCTAGACTGCAAGGAACATGTTTTCTTACATCCACAATGCTGTGTGCCCTGTTGTACCCTGTAGAGCAGAAAGGTTGAATCAGACAAAATCTTCAAAATGATCTTTTACCTTATTGTTTTATTATCCACCCTCTATTGTGTACACTCTGAAGAAATGGAGGGCTTATCGATGAAGCAACTTTACATCTTTGGTGAGAGAAATGTTTTAAAACACATGCAAAGAACAGTCGAAGGTAGTATTTTTGGTGAATGTAAAGGCTGATGGAAATGCACCAAACCTTACTTTTTTCTTTGAGCTTCTTTTTAAAATTTTCATCTGTGCAGGAAAACCCATCGAATTGGAAGTTAGCAAACATTACGACAATAAATAATATTTTAAAATCACTATTATTTAGTCTCCTTTGAACTAAAATAAAGGAAATCTAACCTCATAAAAACTTTTTCAGCACTATTTTGTGACTGCAGGATTGGCAGTATAATAATGCTCTGTGTGAGGTTAGAAAGAGAATATGAGACCTAAATTTGAGTTACTACCTCTGTTACTTCATTTTTCTGGACCGTGATTTTCTCACATTAAAATTAGGTTTATGGAGTACAAGCACTTCTTATACCATAAATGATGAAAACCTAGTTAATGTCACTTTGTTTTTATATTTCCATCACAGTTTGATACCTGGTCCTCCTGAATGTGACTAGAACGCTGCTTGTGTCATGTGCAACTCACCACTCAAGTTCAACAACACTGAAAGGGTCTATCTCCTGTCCAATAAGATGAGGCCACTGAGGATGCAGTTAGAAGCTATCCCAATATCACCCTGACATGAGCTTTCTAAAGACTTGCTCTCAATCCCCGTATTTAGCTGGTGGGCACTGGTAACACACAGTTCCCAGGTTGATTCGAGTCCTCAGATCAGACTTTGGGTAGCATTACTCTAATATCTTCTAGCCCACAAGTCCTGTGATGCCATTTTATTCTTTATCTTTCTTTTTTTTCAGAGACAGGATCTTGCTCCATTGTCCAGGCTGAAGTACAGTGACACAGTCATAGCTCACTACAGCCTCAAACTCCTGGGCCTTCAGCGATCCTCTCTCCTCAGCCTCCCAAGTAGCTGGGATTACAGGATTGAGCCACCATGCCTGGCGAAATTTGAAATTTAGAAATTTCAAATCTTAAAAAATTTTTTGTAGAGACAGAGTCTCATTGTGTTACCCAGGCTGGTCTTGAACTCCTGGCCTCAAGCAATCTCTCCTTCCTTGGCCTCCCAAAGTACTGGGATTACAGGTGTGAGCCATTGTGCCCAGCCCATTTTATTCTTAAAACCCTAAAAGCATGATCAGTATGACCTGTTTCTGAATGTCCCTTATCAATACACAATTCTATATATGCCAAACAGTAGGTGATGGGCTGGGGCGGAGAAGCGGTTGGCAGTGAGAATCCATTTTCCTCAGGTTTGATGAATTTTCTGACGGACAGGGAATTGGGATACCTACAGGTATATAAGGCCATGGTATTCTAGAGCAAAGAAGGACTTTACAGATAATCTAATTCAAGTCCCTCATTGGACAGACAATGTTACTAATTTTCTTTTTCTTTTTCTTTTTTTTTTTTTTGAGATGGAGTCTTGCTCTGTCGCCCAGGCTGGAGTGCAGTGGCCGGATCTCAGCTCACTGCAAGCTCCGCCTCCCGGGTTTACGCCATTCTCCTGCCTCAGCCTCCCAAGTAGCTGGGACTACAGGCGCCCACCACCTCGCCCGGCTAGTTTTTTGTATTTTTAGTAGAGACGGGGTTTCACCGTATTAGCCAGGATGGTCTCGATCTCCTGACCTTGTGATCCGCCCGTCTCGGCCTCCCAAAGTGCTGGGATTACAGGCTTGAGCCACTGTGCCCGGCCACTAATTTTCATATAACGGATAAAAATGTAACAAAGCTACATTAACTGGAATTTGTACTGTTTTGAATGAGTCAGAAATTGCTTTGGTATCTCACAATGCCACAGTCATCATTCGTAATTACAAAGAAAGCTTAAATTTAACCTAGTGCTGCCAGATGTTATGCACATTATATTTCCAAATGTAATTTTAAAAATATATTTCATTTGGGCTATTTTCTATCACATACAACCTACTTTGTTAGAAATTATGGTCCATATAATACTCAGAACGAACCTCTTCAGTTACGAAAAAAAAGATTTGGACAAATTCATGCATTTTTCCAAAAACAGAATTAGCCTATTTCTCTAAAAGGTAGAGGGGCTCAATCCCTGGTATACATTTGTTACTAATTTTTCCAAAGATACAGAACCATTTTTCTCTTCTGTCTAAAGGGCAGAACAGTTTCTAAGTCCCCTACTTTATCTAATTTCAGTTCTGAGGGCAACAATCCTGGGACACAGGGGTGGTTCTTTTTAACTCTTTTGGCATACATTCCCCTGCATTGCAATTGAGACAAGTCCATTCTTGTGATGAGAATTTACAGTCTAGTAATCCTAAACACCAAATGAAGTACAGAATTCCCCTTTTCCAGGTGCTGAAGAGGAAGTTAATGGATTCCCAGTCACAGTAAAGAGTCTTGGAGAATTCCCTGTGGTTCTGGGCCTGGCTGGATTCTGCTACTCTTTCTTTGATGCTAAAACTGCACATTGACTATCATTGGTTTCTTTTACAGATTTTGGAGGACTTTAAAAAAATGAGATGACAAATGTGAAATATATCTTCTTACCTCTATCAACAATTTCAACCCCTTCTCCTTTCATCTTGCAAACCAATTTTTCTTGTAGCCTTTTTACTTCAGATTCCTTTTCTTCTAGTTGTTCTTTTAAAGATGCCAGTTCATCCTACAAGTTACAAATTCATTTAAAAATAGCAGATCATGACTAAAAAAGAACATTCAGAGAGCACATTAGCTCTTTAAATCAATAATCAGATTTTATGAATGAAACAAATCTATAAGAATTTAGATGCAAGCATCAGAAATCAGACAAGGGCAATGAAAAGCAAAAAGCAAGACTATTAGCAGAAGTTCTGTTTATAATAGTTATGGTATAATTATTACAAGTTTCTTTGTAATCAAATGAAAAAGAGATCTTTTAAAGTGTAATTAGGGATGGGATAGCCCTAAGGTTTAAATCTTTACATTAAATTAAAAATATAACCAAGTTAATCAAGGAAGATAATCAAATTAGATACTTAGTGTCATAAAAGCAAAATAAAATGCAAATTGGAAAAGACTAGCTTGACATTTATTTGGCATTTCAAGTTGGCACTCATGCCTCCTTGACAAGCACAGAGTTTCATTAATGGGTAAAGTAGCAAGTCATCAACAACTTTAGCCAAATCATGAAACTAAATAATTCACCCTCATCGCTAAGATAAAAGGACAGAATCTCCTACAACAATGGGAAAAACTAAATTAGAAAACAGATATTTAAGCTCTCTTTTAATTTTTAAGTATACAACTGTATAAGATTTCAAGTCCATCCTTCTATGTACTAATGTTTAAATTTTCAGTTTCCTTTCAGTAAAGAGAAGCTTTAGGAAACAAATTTTGCTGGCTGTATTTAACACAGAAAATACAGCTATGCAATGCTAAGACGTACAGCTTTATATTCAATATCACATTTTACTTTCAGAATCTGTAATGATATATTTATTACATTTAGTACTAAGAGAAGATGTAGTTCTCCAATGAGGCGAGGCAGTTGGCCCTATAGTTTTGACTTCTGGTAGAAGCAGAGTGGACAAGTACAAAACATTTTCAGTAGCACTGGCAGGAAGTGTGAACCTGTTCTCACCGTGCTGCTTCTCAGCAGTCATTTCTATTCGTAGCCATGATAATGTCAACTGCTGTACATTTACCATCAAGAAAGTCCCTAAAGAGGAAAGTGACCTCTACTGTGGATACGAAACAGAATTCTTTCACAGGTGAATGTTTACAATTATTTTACTAGGCTTGGGTCTCAGTCTAAGAGAGTTTAATTTATAAATTCTTTCATTTTACCTGTTTATTGTATTTCACTAATTATTTCATGTATTTCTGAAAACAACATCAGGGATCCCATCGTTCCTTCAATCAGCTTGAGGTGATTTTAATCAACAGGTGACACACACAGAATGAATGCACATGCCACTAAAACATCATCACAGCAAAACAACACAAGCCAGAAAGCAACAGGCCATGGACCCCATCACCCAACGTCTACTACACCTTCAGTGACTCCCATTTTTGTTCCATCCGCTGCTTTTCATACTGCATCTGACCCACCTTGATTTTCATGCTAGAAAGTTTGGCCATTAAAGACTGGTAGAGAGACAGAGGAATGAAAGAAAACTACAGATAGAAAAAGACAAACTAAATAACCGAGAAAATAGTACCAGTTTATAAAGGAGGTTAGATACAACTCAGAGAAAGGGCAGGTTATGTTCTCTCGGAAGAGTTAAGCCTTGTTTTTAAATTCAGATCAGTGGTGTTTAAATTCAAGAAGGTTTCCAGCTTGGGGGGAACTTCATTTACTTTTAAAATACCTTCTTTATCATATACTAAGTAGAAAACATATTATTTATATTATTGGGCATAGATGAATAGTGGAGACATTTGTTTGAAAATGTCAACCTGCGAGAAAAACTTACTTTGGTTGATTTAAGCTTTTTTTCATACTGAAGTCTCTCACTGTCCATTTCACTGACTTTTAACCTCAAATCATTGATCTCCTGAATCAGTCCCTGTCCAAGAAGAAACAAGAAAGTGCATTAGGAAAGTGGTAACACAGTTACCTACATCTATAAAATAGCAGCTTGGAAATCTTAAGAAGTCACCAGCTCCTAGGGTTAGTTGTATGAATCAGATGAGACAAATGGAAATAAATGTACCTCCTTAAGAACGAAAGCATCTTTCCATTTAAAACATTCCTTTAAATCCCCAATGCCTCTGCCTTAAAGTGGTGGGCTTATGAAAATAAAAGGTGACTATAATTTTGATTAAGAAATGTAGCTTAATATTTATTATTTGTCAGATATTTCTATCTTAAAAATGACTCTATGGATGTTATTTCATAGAGTGCTATTTCTATTCTATTTCATAGAATGCTATTTCATATTTTAAATATATCACATTCTTTAGTGAAGCCATTTACCTTTTCAACCTTCTCAATGATACATGGTTATTAAAACAATTTGTAATTTCTTCCTTTGTCCACACGGAAGAAACACGGATTGATCGTCAACCCAATATGGGAGAATGAAATGAAAATTAAATCCTTTAAGCCCATGAATCCTTAAGATTCATGAAACAGCCAGGAAAATGTTTTATTTTTACGAAGTGAATAACAGGAACATGAGAATAGTCAAATCAGTTTTAATTTTGCGGACTATTTTAATTATTGTCATATATAACATCACAAAGTTTCTCAACTATTCTCTAATCTCTGGGTATGTGCGTACGTTTTAGCAATAGTGTTGAATTTTTATTAGAAGCTTATCAGGGATTGAGTTTACTGTAAGTTTGATGACAATTCTCAACTGGAAAGTGGATGAGGGCCCTGCAGTTCACCTAATTTTATAATTAGAAAATGAAAGAGAAACCAATCCTAATGTTTACATGACACAACACAGTTTTGCGCCTTTTCTACTGCCATTTTTTATTTTATTTAGTGTCACTTTTTAAAGAACCAATTTGCTCATAAAACTTGTCCAAGTATTCTGATAAATAGTGGTGTATTTTTGTCCAGAGCCCAGAGAGTAGGAAAGGAAATTAGAATGTTAAGCAATATTAACACCTCCAAAAGAGACACTCAAATACTCTGCATGGGAGTTGACTTATTTTTACTAAAAGCCACAAAGATCCCTACAATGGTTACTATATTTTTGCTTCTCTCTCCCTCTCTCTTTTTTTTAAAGACAGAGTCTTGCTCTGTCACCCAGGCTGGAGTGCCGTGCCGCCATCTTGCTCACTGCAAGCTCCGCCTCCAGGGTGGCATCAGCCTCCCGAGTAGATGGGATTATGGGCACCCGCCACCACGCCCAGCTAATTTTTGTATTTTTAGTAGAGACAGGGGTTTCACCATGTTGACCTGGCTGGTCTTGAACTCCTGATCTCAAGTGATCCACCTTCCTTGGACTTCCTAAGTGTTGGGATTACAGGCATGAGTCACTGTACCCAGCCAGTTTCTCTTTTTACAAAGACATGCATGTATTCCTGGTTCACAAATTCATAGACTACAGGACAAAATTGTCCACGAATGCCAAAAATTACAAATAGAACAATATTATAAGAAATAAAACTTTGTAAATAGAAATTATTTTAAACTTCCAAGTGTAATGATTCAAGTTCACAAAGGCTAAGAGAAGGGATGCTATAATGAAATACACTTCCCAGTAAACCCACAGGCTTTTAAATTGTGGTCTCTTATAAAATGGGGCAAAATATTACCTATCATAGTTATACAATTACTCCTTAATAATGGCACAATATTTCACTTAGATGATATCTATTTTCTTCTTATGAATTAGGTCAAGAACTGTTTGACATTATTCTATAACATATTTGTGATTCCTCATCTAACAGGTCAGAATTCAAGTTTGAAGAAAAAAATAAGCTTTTCCCAGTTATCTAAACTAATCATCCTTGCATAATATGAGTCCTTAGTAATATTCACCAATATGATCTTTTTAAATATATATTTTCCTACTTTCTCATTGCTAAGAAATAGCATTGAATTCTTATCTGCTATTGTTGTATTTTACCCCTTCCTTTAGAAATAGTGCCAATGTGCAAAGAAGAAACCATTGAAAAAAATGGAATTGTAAACTGGGATAATTTATCTGTTTGAACAAAAACTACTCAACTATATTTCATGGCAATACTTTAAATATGGTCTACATTTCCAACCTGAAATCATATCTTCCCCAGACAACACAAGCTGGAAAATCTACAAATGGCTCCCTAATGTAAAACTTTAAAAAATAGAATACAAATTATTTCAATCAAGTTCTTATCAGAAGTTCAGTCCTTTTAAGAAACAAAATCCCTGTTCCCTTTCCCTTTTCCCTTTCAGAGAACTCCTCAGGGCTCCCGCAGGAACTCAGTCTCTGACATGTATGCTCTTACCACAAGGGGGCACTGTCGAAAGATGCTAATCATTTCCCATTAGCAAGTCCAGGGACAAGTTCTGAATCTTCCAAAGTTTAAAGACTTTTACCCTCAGTCCTTTGGAAATGCCTATACTTCTTCCCCATGCCAATATTTTCTTGGAAATTAATATCCAAATAATCTAAAATTCTAAGAGAAAGTTAAATATTATAGATGCATGGAACAGCCAGGAAAATATTTTTATTAAGGGAACGATAGAATATTCAAGTTAGTTTAATAGTGAAGATTATTTTAATTATTTTCATATGTAACATCACAAAATTTACCACATATGCTCTGATCTCCGGGTATGTGCATACGTTTTAGAAATAACCCTGAATTTTTATTAGAAGATTATCAGGGATTGAGTGTACTGGAAGTTTGATGACAAGATCTCTTTGTATATGATTAAGAGTGCATGAGTGAAACAATGAAAAAATGGGGGGAAAAAGTTTGATTAAAAAAAGCAGCCAAACTCAAGGGATATAAATATTGCCCTGGCCTCTTACAAAAATAAATGACACATCTACTGCAATTCAGTTCCAACACTTGGTTAACATCTCATATCCAAATTAAGCTAACAGCAGATGAAGATTTCCCCTTGACTTTGCAGATACAATGTAGAAGACTACCTCTATCCACATCTACCATCGATTCTTCCCTGCAGCAGAGCTAGCTCCACTGCCATGTTGTCCATCTGTTGACTTGAGTTTTACTATTACCTTACTTAGCGACTATGGGGTTAGGACCTGACAAAAAGAGGAGAAAGAGGAAAATATCAGAACAGATTTTTAGAGAAAGCACAAAAGCAAGAATTTTAAATTAGGTGACTTTCTACATCTTGTTTTAAAAGCCCCAGTTTTGATCAAATGAGAAACATGCTCATATAGGCGACTGACAAAGAGATTTAAGATTAAAACATGGCTGGGCATGGTGACTCATGACTCTAATCCCAGTGCTTTGGGAGGCCAAAATGGGAGAATTGCTTGAGGCCAGGAGTTCCAGACTAGCCTGGGCAACACAGTAAGATCCTATTTCTAAAAAAAAAGAAAAGAAAAAGAAAAATTAAAACATGAACCAAATGAAAGATTTCCTTTTGCTATCGAGGAAACAAGACATATATCAAGACTTTCCACTATAATTGAATCTTTGACAGAAAATTTAATTTTGAAACTAGCAGTGGAGTAAAATGCATTTCCAAATCTATAAAGAACTTTCCTCTAGTGGATAATGTATGTAATGCCTGGTACTATGCTGGCTTATAGTCAGCATGAAATACATGTTTGAAGTAAAAACAGAAGGGAAAAATAAGTAAGCCATTTTCTCTCCTCTCTCCTTGGTACCTATTTTCTAATCCAGCATGACACCTTTCCATACTCCAACTAAGGAAACAAAATAGGAAGACAAAAGGAGGGGAGATGGCCCTCAGAGAAAAGGAATTTCTGCAACTCTTTACACTTCATTTCAAATGAATATATTTCAAATGGATATGCGCTCTCTCTCCACCAAAAACCAACAGAGAGGTTAAGAACTTGCCAAACGTCACACAGCAAATAAACTAGAAGGCCTGAATTAATAAAATAGAACAAACAATAAAGCTTGTTAAGCCACTAAAATTATACTTCAAGTTAGAGAATGTACCCTGAGTTTTGTAGAAGTACAGTGAGTCTTATTTAATTGGAATGATTTACATGTGAAATAGATCAAAAGTAGAAGGCCAAATTAAAAGACCTCAAAAAAGCTCTGTGATTTTGTGAGTATAGAATGTTAGCACGTTTTCTCTACAGATTTTCAAAATCCAATTACATAGTAAATAATCAGTGTGCCTAAATAACAACTACTAGTGAAACCATGCATTTAAGCCCATTATTCACAAAATGAAGAAAACCAGCATGGATGGACGGATGCTCCAAATATCCTAAAGTCAAAAGTATTTCTAAAGGTTAATAAAAGGATTAATATTTCATATCAAAAGGCTAAAAATAAAAATTGCCATTAGCATTTAGTGATAAAAAGTCAATGCAATGAAAGATTATTCTTAAAATGAAGCAGGATGAGGGCACATAGTAATGCCTTGCACACCTCCAGGGAATTTCAACTTTGCCCTAGGAATGCACGTGTATGAGAGACAGAGACAGAGTGACAGAGAGAGAGAGAGGAAAGACTGTATCACTCACCTCTGTGTCTCTGAACTTATCTTCATAATCCAATCTGTCCTTCTCTACAGCCGTCAGTTTCAACTTCAGGTTAGATATTTCAGCCATCAGATCCAACTTCTGAGTTTCTAAGGATGTCCTACTTAGAAGCTCCTATTGGAATTTAAGAGATACATTCAATAATTCTTTTATTATAAACAGCCACATGTGAATTTACCTCATTTATGATCACAAAGCAGCACCTATTAAGTGGAGGATATGGTAAAATATAATTACTGAATGTACACACTTTTAAAAAATTGTTCACTTGAGGCCGGGCGTGGTGACTCACGCCTGTAATCCCAGCATTTTGGGAGGCCGAGGCGGGCAGATCGCTTGAGGTCAGGAGTTTGAGATGAGCCTGGACAGTATGGTGAAACCCTGTTTCTACTAAAAATATAAAAATTTGCTGGGCATAGTGACGGGTGCCTGTAATCCCAGCTACTCAAGAGGCTGAGGCGGGAGAATTACTTGAACCCGGGAGGCGGAGGTTACAGTGAGCCGAGATCTCGCCATTGCATTCCAGCCTGGGCAACAAGATTCCGTCTCAAAAATAAAACAAAATAAAATAAAATAAAAAACCATCTACTTTAGTTACCCTCCTTTGAGCAGAAATAAGCACATGTCAGTTTACTGAGGGAGACATATGTTATGTAGATACACATGCATAAACCACATATACACTTCAGGGTGATGATAACATTGATTATGGTGATACTATGTTTGCTATATGCCAGGCACCAGTTATAACAAATACTGTTTCAATCCTCATAAAAAATTTATCAGGTAAAAATTCTTATTATCCTTAATCAAAAGATGAGGAAACATAGTACAGAGAGGTTAGGAACTTCCCTAATGTCACAGAGGGAAAAAGAAAAAATAAAGACACAGCAGGAATGGAAACCTAGGAGGTTTTGCTCAAGTGCATACTCCATCCACGACCTTACAGAGATATTTTCTCTTCTAATTTTGTGGGTACATAGTAGGTATATACATTCATGGGGTACATGTTTTGATTCGGGCTTGCAATGTGTAATAATCACATCATGGAAGATGGGGTCTCCATCTTCTCGAGCATTTATCCTTTGTGTTACAAACGATCCAGTTATATTCTTAATTTCAAACATATAATTAAATTATTATTGACTATAGTAACCCTGACATGCTACTAAATACTAGGCCTTATTCATGGAAACTATTATTTTGTACCCCTTCACCATCCTCCACCTCTCCCTTCATCCCCCACTACCCTACCCAGCTTCTGGTAACCATCCCTCTACTCTCTATCTCCATGGGTTCAATTGTTTTATTTTTAGATCCCACAAATAAGTGAGAACATGAGATGTTTGTCTTTCTGTGCTTGGCTTATTTTACACATAATGACCTCCAGTTCCATTCATGTTGTTGCAAATGACTGAATCTCATTCTTTTTTATGGCTGAATTGTACTCCATTGTGTATAAGTACCATATTTTCTTTATCCAGCCATGTGTTGATGGACATTTAGGTTGCTTCCAAATCTTGGCGGCTGTGAACACAGTTGCAGTGAACACAAGAGCTCAGATATTTCTTCAATATACTGATTTCCTTTCCTTTGGGTATATATCCAGCAGTGGCATTGCTGGATCATATGGTAGCTCTATTTTTAGTTTTGGTATTTTTTTTTTGAGATGGAGTCTCACTCTGTCGCCCAGGCTGGAGTGCAGTGGTGCAATCTCGACTCACTACAAGCTCCGCCTCCCAGGTTTACGCCATTCTCCTGCCTCAGCCTCCCGAGTAGCTGGGACTATGGGCATCCACCACCACGCCTGGCTAATTTTTTGTATTTTTAGTAGAGATGGGGTTTCACTGTGTTAGCCAGGATGGTCTCAATCTCCTGACCTCGTGATCCACCCGCCTCGGCCTCCCAAAGTGCTGGGATTACAGGCATGAGCCACCGCACCCAGCCTCTATTTTTAGTTTTTTGAGGAACCTCCGAAGTGTTCTCCATAGCAGTTGTACGAATTTACATTCCCAACAACAGTGTACAAGGGTTCTCTTTTCTTCACATCTTCGTCAGCATTTGTTATTGCCTGTTTTTTGGATAAAAGCCATTTTAGCTGGGGTAAGATAGTATCTTCTTGTAGTTTTGATTTGCATTTCTCTGATGATCAATGACATTGAGCACCTTTTCATATGTCTGTTTGCCATTTGTATGTCTTCTTTTGAGAAATGTCTATTCAAATATTTTGCCCATTTTTAAATTGGATTATTAGATTTTTTACTATTATATTTTTTCTTAATTATAAAACATATACTTATGGGTGAGAGGAAACCATCTGAATGCAAAAAAAGAAAATTAAAATAAGCCACAATACTACTGACATTTTGTTCCAGATTCTAATTACATAAACACTTTCTATTGTGTGCATGTGTTTTGAGACTCTGCTACTCTCGTTTTTTTTAAATGTGCTGGTCTAAGTGAATCAAGAAACTTACCGCTGCATAGAGCAAACACAGCACAGAAACGCAGCATCTGAAATAATTCAGCAGGGAAATCCCATCTTGGTTCTGGCCTCTGCACATACCTGCTGTAGCATTTCTTCTGTGGCATTCAACTTCTCTCTGTGCTCTTCAAGACAAAACTCCAAATCTCGAATCTTCTCCCCCTGAGCCTCCACCTGGTCTGTTAACACACTTACCTGTATTTAGAGCAAAATCATACAATGAGTGAAAAAGAACTTGGGTTCCACTGAATACATTATTTCTCTAAATGGAACAATAAAAGGAATGATCCTACCACTCATATGGTTTTAAAGAAAAAAAATATGCGAAGTACCAAGAAGACAGTGGTCCCTCGCATTCCTATTTATATGTTGCTATTTGATTTAAGGAGGCCTATACAGTTTGGAGGAAATTTGTATAGATTAGGAATGTACAATACTTTTTGGTTAAAGCTACTTCAACCATTTATGAGAGCGAGCGTACAGAGAAGTTATCTTTTTTGGGGACAGGGTGGAGATAGTATTAGAAGAGAGGAAACAAAGTTAATGTTTGAAATAGAAATTATCAAGAAATTATTAAAATTTGATACTTCAAGAAGAATAAGAAAAAGACCCCGGGGGGTGGGCGGGGAGCATGCACGGTGGCTCACACCTGTAATCCCAGCACTTCGGGAGGCCGAGGTGGGCAGATCACTTGAAGTCAGGAGTTTAAGACCAGTCTGGCCAACATGGCGAAACTCTGTCTCTACTAAAAATACCAAATTAGCTGGCCATGGGGGCATGTGCCTGTCATCCCAGTTACTCAGGAGGCTGAGGCAGAAGAATTGCCTGAACTCAGGAGGTGGAGGTTGCAGTGAGCCAAGATTGCACTGCACTCCCACCTGGGCAACAGAGTGAGACTCCATCTTAAAACAAACAAACAAACAAACAAAAAACAAAAACACACACACACACACACACAAAACCCAGGGAATTCAAATTCCATGAGCTCTTTGAAGATGACACTGATCACAGATGTGTTCAAAGCCAGGGGGCAGCTCAATATACTCAAAGGTCCATGAGGAGCTGTTGGGCTAGTCCTTCAACTCTAGTGCTTAGAGCCGATCTCCGAGATTTTCCTCAATAATCATCACCCAGTAAATATACTTCAATTCATTTTGCTCAATATACCAAAGAAAAACATACTTCAGTTCATTTTGCTCGATATACCAAAGAAAAATGTTTGTCAAGCATTTAAAACATTATGAAGAAGCAAACTCAAATTTAGCCCACAGGGAGGATTCTACTCACTGTTTTGTCTCACCCAGGGTATCATTTTTAAAATTGAAAAATTAAACATATATACTCAGATTTCAGATTCAGAAATATAAACATACATATATTCAGATTTTATGCTATATTCATATATCTGAATTTTAGAACAGATCAGACAACATTGTGCCTGTATTCAGACTGGCCGTGGAAGAGCTGAGGATGATTAATGGCGGCTCCTTTTAAACTGGTCGTAAACACCATCATTCTGCCCCAATCCTCACCACTCCCTATTGTGTACAGGTGGTTTACCAGGCTTATTTCTGTTAGCAGTCTGGTTGCTGCAAGCAATCTGAATTTGCCAGCCCAATTTAAAAGTCTTTGTAAGTATGCTGCAAGGAAAGAACAGTATTTAAAAATCACTTGCCTGAAGAACGAGGGATTCTTTATCATTTTCTAAACGTGCCAACCTTTCTTGATACACATCTCCGTTCCCAGGTAGGTGTCCATTTGTCTGAAAAAGGAAATAATATGGGTAAGGCTGATCTTCTCTAAGAATGATATATTGAGGATAAATGAAAATCACAGTGTTCACAAGTCCAAGGGGCCTGAATTGAATCTGGCACAGCTGTCACTGTCAAACAGAAAACATGAGAATGCAATTTGGTTCATTTACCACAAAAGAGGTAAGACAGGCATGTTAAGCGTATAAGCATGTTTTTGCCAAAGTAAACAATTTCTTATCAAACAGAAAATAATGACCCACAAGGCACAGTGGATACTGGTATCTCCACTGAGAGCAGACACACACCCAGGGGCAGGCAAAGCTTTGTCAGTGTTTAGGGGGCACCTCTAGCTGTTGAGGTCTGTCTCTTTTCCTCCAAAAGCGTAAACACTCAGGCCACAGTGACTTCCCCTGGTAGCTCCGACTAGCCTCACTTATCTGCATTTTAAAACTTTCTGTCCTGATCTTACTAACTTGTGAGTTTGCTTCTTTGTATAATGTTACCTTCTATTCCAGGGCAGAGCCTATAATTCATTTTGTAACCTCCCCAGCATCTGGCTCAGTGCTCTGCATATACTGATGCTTACTTACTATTTCTTCCCCTCCTTCCTGCCCCTGGACACTTTTTAAAAAACATCATGTTTCAGTATATTTAAGCGTTGTATAAATGCCAAAGGAAGTATAGACTGAGAAACGACGTATAGATTGTTTCTTCCTCAACTGTCTCATATGCAAATCATGAAAGAGACACACGAAGAGGCTCACAAAGAACAGAAAACCTAAAAACATAATTTTGAAATGTACGTAGTAGCATAAGTGGTGTCTCTCGTAATCTCAACATAACCATAAGATAATGTAATCCCAATAGAATTTCCTGATTCTTCATTCAAATCCAATAGAAATAAAAGTCAGCTGAAATCCGAAAGTGTTAGATGGGGCCACCCAGGGTTCAACTGAAAAAGAAAACAATATCTTCAGATTTAGAACCAGAAAAAATACAAACTGAATAACCTTACTCCCCAGGGCACATCTGATGTGACATCTACTGTTTTTCCAGAATTAACTGATACCATTGTTCCATCTTTCCAATAAATGTGGTTTCCAGTATCAATTCTTGGAATAACAAAAGTCATGTGCTGGGAAGGGGGAAAAAAAATAAAACAGGGCTTGAATGAAAAGGAAGACTTCAGAATGCTTTTTCTAAAAACTTTACATACTGAATACATTTTCCAAAAGGCCACAAAGAATCGGAGGCTAATTGAGTAAGGGTGCAATGCATATTTAGAGTGGATTAAAATTTTACAATCAGCTGCTTCGCCACACACCTCCACAATTACCACAGCATAATTCTGCTCATGTTGTTAACTGAAGTGCCCGGCATTAAATTACAAGTATTATGAAGAGTGTGATGGAGTGGCCTGGACAACTTCTATTCCTGGGGACTAACATAAAAATAAATTGTGCATAACTTCTCGAGGGCAGTTTTTTGGAAAAGGGCCAGGATGCATAATCCATGTTCTCAATCTTAAGAAAGTGCCAAGACAGGCCCTGTAGAGGTTTAAATTCCTTATTTTGATTATAGACATTAACAGGCATCTGTTTTTAAAATCCCATACAAGTAACAATATTTCAGAAACAGATACATTTCAGTAAGTAGAAAAAATCTGCTGTTTAGTGAGGACAAAAAGTAAAACTGGCCAAGGGTGGTGGTACATGCCTGTAATTCCAGCACTTTGGGAGGCTGAGAATTGTGTGAGCCCAGAAGTTTGAGGCCTGCCTAGGCAACATGGCAAGACCCTATCTCTTAAAAAACAAAAACAAAAACAAAATAAACCAAAAAGTACTTAGCCAAGCTTAGTGGTGTGCACCTGTGGTCCTAGTTACTCTGGAGACTAAGGAAGGAGGATCACTTGAGCCCAGGAGGTGGAGGCTACAGTGAGCCATGTTTGCACCACTGCACTCCAGGCTGGGCAACAAAGTAAGACCGTGTCTTAAGAAAAACAAAACAAAACTGATCTTTCTTCTGGTTGGAGGAAATTATAGCAAGAGGAGAGCAGTGTTTCCTTCCAAGCTACTTTGTATGATATGGAAGTGAGGTGCTCCAAAACCAGTTCTCCAAAATGAGCCCCAAATAGAAACAGATACTGAAAATTGATTCAAAATGAGCATATTTATGTTTCTCAATATGGTATTGATACTTATAAGCACTCAATGCTCAAGGGTAGTTTAGTATATTAAAACTCACTATAGGAACATAAAGCAGAATTTAAGAGCGATCAATGTTACATCCTTGTGTTAACTTAAGTAAGTAAAGACTGTTCTGTCCACATGTATTTATATATCTGCCAATTCTGTTTCTTTGCATTAAGAATGTTGGCAGTAAGATCCATTAGGTACATACCGTATTGTCTCTATTCTTCCTCCAACTCCCACGTTCTACCAAACAGGTCACTCAAAACCTCCCCATATATTGCATGCTCTCTCACACACTTTTACTCCTTCTGCACGGACCGTCTTTTCCCACCCTTTCTTCTTCTTTCCCCATTCCTTAAGGTCCACCTCTATTAGGGCTTGGTCTGTGAAGTCTTCCTTGAATTCACTGTTTACTATGTGCCAGCAACAGTATCTAGATGAACCTTCATTACAGCAGGCGTTACTCTGAATGCACTAAGGTTAGACTTGATTGCATACATGTCCCTCTCTTCTAATAGACTCTGCATTCTTTGCAAGTAGATTTGCCTTGGCATGTGACACACAGTGGGTGATAACTAAATGTCTGTTGAATGGAAGAATGACGACAGGTGTTCAATAAACAAAGTTGAATAAAAGATGACTACAGGTTTCGTTTTGATCTGGCCTTCTTGCTTCTCAGTGGGTCTTTATTTATGTGTCCTCTATAATCTGGTATGCACTCCATGGTTGACTTCTATCTAGACTGGCTCCTTTCTCCCCAAGCCTGTACTCTCTCTTCCCACTATGTTTAGGAGGTGATCTCAGAGCCTTTGTAATGGACAATAGTTAAGGCCATCTTGTGTGAGCTCCCCTAGACACTTTCTTCCTCAGTGTGTAATAGTATAAAATATATTACCTCTTATTTCGTTCCTTTCTTTCTTCCTGCAGGCTTGGGAGAACTGATTCTTAACTCCTTCCTGAAAGCTCATCATTCCACTTCTAGTTTGGAACCTTGATTTCCTGTTTCACTGGGACCTGTAATCACCACTTCCACTTATCATTTTCCATTTCTTTCTTTTCATGAGCTTTCTTCCATTTTCCTTTACAACAACTATCCCAAGTTTTTGTACCCAACACTCTACTCACCTCCCACTCCTCCCTCTCAGGTCAATCCATCTTTCATAACCCATTTCTACCTCCTCCTCATTACATTGTGCCATTCTCCTTTCCCCATCTACTGGCTGACCTTCTGGGTCTTGTCTTAAACTGTGCTCTTTAGTGTTTCATCCTATTCTGCCTCAGGTGGATGACTAATAATTTTATGTGAGTTGGTCACTCAGCCTAAGTTTCTCAGTGCAAAACTGTCTTACATTTCTTTTGATTCTTCCACGGTGCTTATAAAATCCTGAGCACCTAATTTAAAATGTATTTAAGTATAAACTCCTGTTGAGTCAATCTGACTTTCAAAGCACGGAAGAGAAGCCTAAATCACTTTACCTTTCTACTTTAGCTCATGGTGCAACCTTTTACTGACCACATCCAATTCAGCTAAGTCAAAACTGGAATCAACGTGGGGATTTCAACAGTACAATATCCAACCAATAGTGTGTGTGGAGAGTCAGGGAGGGAGATCTAACTCAACTGTAACAATGGTACTTTGATTTAATTAAGGAACTTATAGCTTCTGCCAGGTTTTCCTGGCATGATGGGGAGAAGCACATCTGAAAAGCTTTATCCCTCATAGAATTACAGCATCTTAGAGCTAGCCAGGAACCTCACCTGGAAAACGAATTCCCTGACTCTACATGGCAGGTGGTACACATAACATCAGAACACCATCTACTTTTCCCTTCACCATCTAAGTGGAAAGCCTTCTTTTATTTATTTATTTATTTATATTTATTTACTTACTTATTATTTATTTATTTTGCAGTTGCAAGATTTAATAGAGTGAAAACAGAGCTCCCTTACAACAGGAGGGGACCCAAAGGGGGTTGCCACTGCTGGTTCAAATGCCTGGGTTTATATCCTGATTATTGTCCCTCCCCCTGTGCTCTCAGGTGATAGATGATTTGATTATTTCTTTACCTCCTGCTTTTAGCCTAATTGGTATTTTACTGAGCTCTCTTTACTACCTGATTGGTTGGGTGTGGGCTGAGTTACAGGCCCCGTATTTAAAGGTGGGTGCGGTCACCCTCTCCAGCTAGAAAGCCTTCTTTTTATATCAACTTCCTTTTAATTATCAAGTATTACAATCAAGCATAAAGACATAATAAATGTTAACATCTTTCCTTTGCATCTGTTTAAAAAAATTTTTTATTACAGAAAATTTCAAACAGATTTAAAGTTAAGAAATGAGCGTGATGAAACCCCATGTACTCGCTGCTCCATTTCAATAGTTATTAATTCACGGAAGGTAGGAGTCTCAACCGCTGTTTTTACTTGTAACATCATGCTGTGTTTTCCTTTGATTTTCTGGTTCTATTGGTTTGCATTGGTCTACAGTTGTCTTCTTCCCTGTTTCCCCTTTGTTTCACTTTGTTCTTTCCTGAGCTCTGCTGTCCTGTCTAAATCCAAAATCAACATACAAGCAGTGATTTGCCACTATTATGCTTATTTATTTTACAAAACAGAAACCAATTTTGAGTGTAATAGTCCTAAATCAGAATGGTGAGTACCTAAATTAAAATGGGGAAAACAGCCCCCTTTTTAAGGTCAACAGATGTTAAAGTACAGCTGGATTAGTAATACTACATACACACAAATGCATGCACAGACCACATTCCATCCAGTCATTATACTTATTTTTAAAACTAGTTATTAAAGCTGTCATGGAG